TTGAACAGGTCGGAAACAAGTATTTGTGTCGTAATTACACTTTTCCCGCAGAAAGACTTGTAGCGTTTATTAAAATTTTGGATACATAACAAGGAACATGATTTTGAATAAAAACTCTGAATCATCTATAGTCACAGCTTAGCTTTTTTTAGCATGAATTTTGCAATTCAATACAGTTCATTATTTATTTATTTATTTATTTATTACTGGATATTTATTGCTATTTATTATAAAGTGCCAACATATTCCGCAGCGCTGTACAATTAGAGGAGAACGCACAATATACACAGACAAATACAAACGTTAAAGAGGGTCTTGCCCGTGAGCCGTTTTGTGAATAAACCCCTTATTGTTTGTGAAGAATTTATAACTAATTAGCAAACTCTGAACCTAAACAGTCATTTTTTAATTTTCTTTAAAATAGCTAAGGTGCAGAATTTTCCAATTCTGTTTGGAAATTTTGCAGATTTTTGCAGTTCTGCCTTTAGTACACGGCTCAGTAAATCACTTTCCATCTGTAAAAGATAATAAAAAAAATAAAAATGTAACCTTATAACTGTGGATTTCCCAGCACTTACAAATCTGTCATTTAACAATTACCGCACTTATGTATAATTTGTTTAAGTGTTTGCCATTTAATTATAGTAGCAGCACAGGTTGTTAAATAGACGCTGCTAAAATGTTAAATGATCAGAAACAATTGCTTTAAAAATTAATTTACTTCTGAGTGTGCCTCATGTACGTTCTATGTACATGTTATGTATTATTCTGCACACGTGAGAATTGCTGACTACTTAGAAGCTATATATAAAAAGGACTATAATGTCATGTAAATGCACTATTAAAGATTCAGAAAATAAATTTGGCTCATAATAGGTTTTAATAAGAACTATGATAGGGTGGTAAAGCAAAGTGGAAATTTTGCTTTGTAAACATTCATATAATGCTCATAAAGATACTGACCCAGAGGGGAATTGTCTGCATGCTGTACTGTAGCTGTGTTGCACTGCGAAATGAGTGGTTAATGGGTCATTTATTCATTTTAATTACGTGACAAAGCAATTCATTTGCTTAACAACCTATTGGATTTGTTCAGATTGTTCTTTTAATTATGTCACTTATAGCTCCTGTGTCAGTGCTGCACACGTTCAGTGTCTCCACGTTCTACATGGATATGCTGAACATTCTTCATAGAGATGCATTGATTCAATGTATCGCTGTAGGGATAGCCTCCCAATGCTTACCTATATTAAAGCATTGGATTGGCTGAGATCATCAAGTTTGATGATCTCAGTCAAGGGTACGAAGTGGATGCAGAGCTAGCCACGAGGAGATCCGCTGATGGGGAAAAGGGTGAGTAACGCTTTTCACAGATGGGGCTGGAGACCTAAACTGTTATTTTAGAACTATAGTATATTGTATTCCTGACACTATAAGGTTCATTTAAAACTAAAAAATATGTTTTAAATATATTATGTACTAATGTAATTAGATTAGTAGTCCTCTTTGTTTTTTGTTGGTGGTATTTTTTGGGGGGAGGGGGAAGTCACTCCACCTCTGATGAAGTCATAAGTTATGACTTGTATCCAGTCCATTCATTTGCTCATACAACCATTTGAGACACAGTGTATGTACGGCTTTGGTCTCAATTCACAAATCAAATGCTTCTCGTAGAGAAGCATTGAATTCAATTCTTCTCTGACTGAGAGGCCTTGAACGAGTTTAATGTCATCACAGAACAAATGAATGAATATTTTTCAATTTCCCAACTTCTTTGTGTGCTTTCTATATGCTGCATTCCAGGTGCAAAGGACTGCCCAGATGCAGAATAAAGAGCTTTCTGCATAAAATTTTTATTTTTTACACCGCAGAAATACATATTTTCAAAATACTTGGAAAAGTCAGTTTTCCTCTAAACGTTATAAAATCAGTGAATATGGTTGCAATTTGCTATGTCTCAGTTCTCCCCATTTTGTAATGATAAATGGGTAGTCTAAGCACCATAACAACGTGCTCCTACTTTCTGTCCTGATAGTGGTTTAAAACGGGACAGTACGGCAGATACCACTTTATAGATCACTTCCACTCACCATGTGTGATGAACTATTTATCCCATAAACCTCTACTGGGCCGTAATATATGGGTTAAGTTCAGACCCCATAAACAAGAATGAAAGACTCATGATTGGTGGAGTCACTTCCTGATGAGAAAAACTATCCATTTGAAGCTGTGGTTAGATTCTCTATCTTGTGTAGCTTAATTAGATCGGAAGGCATTATTATAATTTTCTTTAGTTTTTTTTTTCTGCATTGCTTTTTAATACACCATGTATGTAATCTGTACAAATCACTGGATTGAGGAAAATCCCTGACATAAAGACACAAACCACTGGTGTAAAATATTTGTCTTCTATATCGGACTGTATATTTCTCTGCCGACTATGACGGAGGATTAAATGTTTTTTTGTGATTTTGGATCCTTTGTTCCTGTCTGCAGGTACACTGAAGCTTAGTTGACATTGATTGCTTTTTCTGACCCCGTTACTCATGTTCATTTCTCTAAAAATAATTTTGCTTTCTGAATTCTATTTGTTTCTGACAGTGACCATTAGTTGACCTTTTTTAAGCTCTGTTTTCTTATACACCACTGGGAGAGACAATTTGTGGCACGAAGAACTTGTACAGAAATTGAAATGGGACGTGAGTGGTGTGCAAACATTATACTCACGTGTTGATCGAGGAAATCTGTCAGTATTTTTGAGCAATGCTCGTCTACTGGCTGTCAGAAATGTTCTTACTTAATGGCTACATTTTACTGACAACTGTAGAAAGGATCTCTTATTCTCATAAACATGTTCTCAGCCACATATTTGGTGCCCTGAGTAACAATATTTGTGAAGGGCATTGGGTAGCTTCCCTAGTGCTGGAAATAATAATATTAACAAAGCGTTTAACCAGGAAAGGTACGTTCAGATTACTCTGGTTTCCAAGTATGTCCTGGGGATGTTACTTTTGCCCAACATCCAGGCAATAACTTCTTTATTGCCAGGAAAACCACTTTGATTTCATAGCACTATAGTTTCCCTTTAAGGTCCATTGCAAATTCCGGACATTGTTAAATAGTGTGAACAATGTCTGGATTTTGCAGTCCTAGATTCAGACTCTATTGAATAACCCCATAAATATTTGTGTTCAGCTGTATGTTTAGACATAGTCACTAATTACGTGTGTCTGTTTATCTAATGATTATTTCCTAATTAATCAACACATAATGAGCAAAACAGTTTTTTAATAATTAAATCACTTCATATGAAGACAGATTGGCAAATTACATTCCCAGGCAAGCTTTCAGTAAATAAATAGAAAGTACTGCAGAGTTTATCACTTTTTATGAAGCGATCCTTGGGGTATTATCTTGAATTAATGTTAACATATACTTATGAATACAGTTAGAATTAGGAACTAAAATTAAAAAGAGATTTGCATTTCATTATTTTCATTCAAGTTAATTTAGTTTGGAGACGCATTAGAAAGACGAGGAGTTATGTGTTTTAACTTTTTATGATTTATATTCCACATGTCAAACATTTGCAAATTATTATAGATTTCAGGAAAAAAAGGTTCATGTATTGAGAATGTTACGTCAAATTCTTTAAAGGAACACTCAAACACTATATATCGATATGTTCCATCAATTTATCAATTTAGGTTACTAAGAGGATATACAGAGCTTGAACAGTAATTAATATGTTCCACCACTCTATTGTTTCTCATAGAGAAGCATTGAATCCAGTGCTTCTCTGTGAGGAGCATTATACCAGCACAGCGTCATCATGTGATTAGGCTGAATGCTAAAATTTCAGAAAATTGAAGGATCTGAAAGAGGAAGCTAGTGTAGTTGCTGTCTGCCTGATCGCTACTAGAGGCATGTTCTCATCAAAATGTAAACGTTGCCATTTCTCAGAGTTGAATTGAATTGTATAATGCAAAGCTGCTTGTTCTTAACAGGCATTTGAAAAAAGGGGGTGGCTGCTAGAATCATAGAAGGCTACTTGTTATGTCCCTTACTGGCACTTGCTCAGAGCCATATACCTCAGTGAATATACAGGTTTTAAGGTTTTAAGAAGGTATTTTAAAGTCTGAAAAAAATGTGACAGCATCTGTGCACCAAAACCACTACAGTAAAATGTTTCGTTACGGTGCTCCTTTTAACCCCTTCAGGGCACAACTTCTGGAATAAAAGGGAATCATGACGGAATATTTCCGTCATGTGTCCTTAAGGGGTTAAAGATATATATTGTGATCATTGAATTCTATGGAAAATTAGATTTATTTAAGATTGTTTATGTATTTTTTTCTACTTTTTTTTTTCCAGTGGGAGTCGAATAAAAAAACATGAGAAGACGATGTTATCCTAATCATAAGTTGCACCCTTGTTCAGCTCTGAAAAATGGACGGCTGCTGCATTTTATGATGAAGGCCAGGATATTCCATCTAGATGATGGTTTCCAGATTTTACAAATGTGCCACTAAAATATAAAAGCACTTTCCATGACCACCCAAAATCAAGAACAACACATTGCAAAGGAGAACCTGCACCAGCTTCCTATTACAATGATGGTGTTTTACTGCAGACAAAATGTTCTAGAAAAATACAAAAAGAAGACTACAACAGCAAGACTGTTGGCAAGTTGTAAGAATAATTAAGATTGCTACAGTAACCGTCTATAGTCTCGTTGTAAAAGCTTGAGATCAAGCCAAAAATTTGTGATTCAACCAATAAATTGAGAATTGTCCAGAATAGGATTGAAAAATAACTAAATAACCATTTTAAAACAATACAAACAATAGACTTTAAACATTGCACTGGATTTGCATAATAATAACTTGGATATATTTTATAGTGAAAGCTAACACATTCTGAAAAATTCCACAGGATGTGATATGACAAACGTCAAATGAAAAGACGTCTGAAGCAACATTTCTAATACCTATATCACTATGGTCCTTGTAAACCAGAATAACACAGTAGAAAGTGTGCCTCTATGCCTAAATTGCACACATCATGTGGCCACAATTAATATTTCCAAAGCAGTTGTGGTCGGGGTTATCTTTGGAGGTTTCATAATATTTGGAGTTCTGGGGAATATTTTGGTAATTCTGTCTGTAGCCTGCCATCGACATCTGCAGACTGTCACACATTATTTTATTGCCAACCTGGCCGTGGCTGACTTACTCTTAATGTCCATGGTGCTTCCCTTTTCAGCTACCTTTGAGATACAAGGATATTGGCTCTTTGGTCGCATCTTCTGCAACATCTGGGCAGCTGTGGATGTTCTTTGTTGCACAGCTTCCATAATGAGCCTTTGTGCCATATCTATTGATCGGTACATAGGGGTTAGTTACCCTCTAAGGTACCCAAGCATTATGACTGAAAGGAGAGGAATTCTTTCTCTGCTTTGCATTTGGGTTTTATCCCTAGTCATCTCAGTTGGACCTCTGTTTGGCTGGAAGGAACCAGCACCAGAAGATGAAACAATCTGTGAGATAACAGAAGAGCCAGGGTATGTGATCTTCTCAGCTTTTGGATCCTTTTATTTGCCTCTGACTATCACCCTGGTGATGTACTTTCGAGTCTATATTGTGGCCAAACGAGAGGGCAAAGTCTTAACCCGTGGGATGAAGTTTGATAAGTCAGACTCTGAGGAAGTGACTTTGCGCATCCATAGAAAAAGCACCCCAGAAAGCATCAATTGTACACCTAGCTCAAAGCACAAGACTCATTTCTCGGTGAGGCTTCTCAAGTTTTCCAGGGAAAAGAAAGCAGCGAAGACATTGGGAATAGTAGTAGGATGTTTTGTGTTGTGCTGGCTCCCATTCTTTCTAGCTATGCCAATAGGTGAGTAAAACCTATTCTCATTACATGTTTTGAATTAAAGGTTTTAGCAAAATGGTTTAAGTACTTTACCATTATTTATTACACTGAGATCGCAGTTTGTAGGCTCTTTGAAAAGATAAAGAGATAAACACAAATGTTTATTTGGTAAAATGTTTTTTTTTAGGTAAGCTGTGCCTTGTTTACAAAACTCAAAATGTTATTAATACATTAACCCCTAAGGACCAAGAACAGTTGATGCTTTCCTCAAAATCTGGCTCCTGGGCATGGAATACCATGAGCAGTTCTGAACATCTATGATTTTGCTGAATAAGTGGAACACTGCATTTTGATAGTGGGTCTTTAAAATCACAATAGATTGTTGTGGTGGAATTCTTCTAGATTTGATCCACAAAGGGCTAAATAAGTATTGTATATTAGAAACAAATATTTTGCAGTGCATTTACTTGTTTTAGGGAGGAGAGTTGTTCAGCGTTCAATAGTTTTACATTGTTTTTGCATTGTACTCCTTAATAAAAGGGATACTTTAGAGCTAGGATTACAAATCTGTATTCCAAGAACTATACTTCCCTTAGCTTACCACCCACCCACCCCCCCACACACACTTCCTCCCACGATCTCACTCTGCACTGGTACTCGACCTCCTCCAACATGTGGTGCTATTGCACATGCGTCGCAAGCATATTAGGCCGACCCCACAGGAAAGCATTGCTGCAATGCGTTTCTATGGGGTTTTGCAAAGCGTGAAGATGTCCAGCATCAGATGCCAAAAGTCACCTAGAAAGCAGGAAGTGCCTTTAGTGACTGTCTGATTCACAGCCACTAGAGGCAGTCTTAACCTTGCCGTGTAATTATTGCAGTTTATCAGAAACTGCAATAATTAACATTGCAGGTTTAAGGGGAGAGGGTCCCTACACCCAGATCCCTTCAATGAGCTGAAGTGGTCTGGCTGCCTATAGTGTCCCTTTAAGATGGTTTTCCTTCTAACAAGGATTTAGGATCCTGGTAAAACATGAAAACAATATCATAAAACAACTTAGTATTTTTTTTATTTGTAAAAAAATATTTTTTTCAGTGGAGTAATGTAACATGTATGTCCCTTTTCTTGTGTACATTTACTAGGGGAAAAACTCTAAACACAAAGCAAACTGTGCAATAAAACAATAAGCATTTTAAACTGTGTCCCATTATAAATGTTACTGAATGTAAGTTTACCAGAGAGAGTCTTATGTAGATATGTAGAGCTGAATTGAATTAATAGGTAACATTTCAGAAAAAAATGTTACAGACTAAGCAATACGGGGAAAGCAAATGTCTGCTTTTTTCATGAATGTGTATATACGGTATTACTTTCATTTTCATTGTGAAATGAAATTTAGTCCATAAAGCTTCACTTACTTTCGTTTATACTCTAGGAATGATTAGCAACTCGTGGATGCTACATTGGAATGAATTTATTTGCCACGAACCCAGTGCACCTATTTATTTTTTGAAATGAATAGGGGGAGGCTGAGATTTATTGCACATTAGAAGTCATTAAAGGAAGCTTCAAATATCATACCATTCCTACAATCATAACTAGCTATTGTTTTCAAAATATATGTTTTCACTGCATTTAGTGTATGTTGGCATTATGCCATTCTTTACACTGTGTTACTTCACCATTTTATTAAGCTACTTTTATTTATCTCGTATATTTATTTTTGCCTTTTTACTAATATTTCAGACCCTGTGTGAAAAATTGCAAGATAAAGGATAATGAATATGATTTAAACGTTTTCATTCCCTCAATATTTCTATAAAAGATGAGCAAATATATGAAAAATAAAGATTATGTAAATTAATATAATGTTAATGTTCTATATACAAAGTAGCTATTTTATCATACATATGTTGTAGCTGTGTTTCAAATAAATGTTATGCTAATATTTTTGCAAAGGTAAGTGCTTGGTAGTGAAGGAGTTAACATCCCATTTCTCCATGTAATATTTTGCAGCCTCCCATCTAGTTTTGGCAGGTGATGTCACAGAAAGAACCCACCCAGACCACTTTCCAAACCCTGCATTAACCAATGATCTTTTTGTTATTAATATCTATTAAAGGTCTCTCTGGCCAGGAAACACCTAGGACATGGCAAGAATTTAACGTGTACAAGTTTTTCACCGATGAATTAATTAAATGATATATCTAATTTTTTTGTGTCCCACACAAACCTTGTCTGTCACACAGCATATGTTGTCTTTTAGGGAGAAAGTATTGTCAAGAGAAGATGAAAAAGAAAATTGTTCATTTTGAATTCCATTTATTTTATCACAATTTTTCTGCAGATATTTAAAGGAACACTGCAATAGTATAAATATATAATTTGTTTACAATACTGGAGTGTTATAAACTGTATTTAGATTATAGGGTCCCTTTTTTCCTGTAAAATAAAAGGTTACATATCTCAAGTCCAATGGTGAGAGGGTCTTCTCAACACGCCCTTCTCCACCCCCTGATACTTTTTTTGTTTTTGGCACACGAACTTATAACAAAGAAATTCTCATGTGTATTTTGTAAAGTTGGTGTGCAGCTATTCCTGTACAAAGTTTTATTTTGTGTTCAGTTACATCTGCTGAGTAAAATGACACCCCCATTGTATGTCTTTGTCACTATTTCGTGAAGTTACAGTGCCATATAGGAGGCCTGTTCTTTTCAGTATTCACATAAGGTGCATATTGTGCCTTAACATGCCCCCATTTTTTCACCAATATATGCTAAAAAAAAAATTTGTGCGTTTTTTACATTTTTTTTATGGATTGCATTTTTGCTGGGCATTTTGTATATTTCACATGTGCCACTAAGTTCAAACCCCCAAATTATGCTCGGCTAAGTCTTCTGAGTAAAAAGACACCCACAGTGAATGTCTTTGGCACTATTTTGTGAAGCTACTTTGCCATAGACCAAGCCATATCAGTTTTTACCGAACTTTGAATTTTGACACTGGGCCTATGTGCAATTTCCAAGCATCTTAGCAGGGTTTAAATTCAAATTACCCCATAAAGGCTTACCATTTCTTAAAGTAGACACCCCAGGGTATTTCAAAAGGTATATTTTGAACCTTAGCGTGAGATCATTTTTCCGCTAGCTTGTACCAAGTGTAGTGGTAATAAGTGTTTTATCTGCCTTTTTGACACACAAAGTGAGTTTGCACAGTATATTTTGCAAACCTTATGTGTGCTATGACTGTATAATACTTCATATGTTGCTCAGCTATGTCGTCTGAGTACAGCAATACCACCGTATGTACCTTTGCCAGGTATATGTGGATGTTGAAGGGGCGCATTTGAGACGCAGCCATTCAGTTTTTTTCTAACTTTGAAGTTTTACGCTGTGTCCATGTTCCAATTTGGAGTAGTTTAGACGGTTGGTTATTGAAACTTCCCCACAAACACATACTATTTATTAAAGAATACACCCTGGGGTAATTCAAAAAGCATATTTTGAACCTTAGCATGGGATCATTTTTACTCTAGTTTGTTCCAGGTGTAGTGGTAATGAGTGTTTTTCAATGTAATTTTACTTTTTTACACTTTTTTACTTTTAAAAACTAGTTTTTAAACTTTTGTTTTGCTTATTAATGTTTTTTAAACTTTCCTAAACTTTCTTAAAACTTTTTTTTTACAGATTTAACATTTTTCTAAGCTTTTTTTTTTTACCGTTAACCCCTAACTAGCAGTAAGCAGCACTAACAGTAAATTCACCATTTCCCTATAACTCCCACCCACCCCAGCTAGCAAAATATATAATTATAAAATATTTAAATTAATTAATTAAATAAATTGAACCCCTGAGGGTTAAAAAATAAATAAAAATTAATCCTCAGGGGTTAAAAAAAAATTAGATCACAGTATAATACTGTGATCTGTATTTTGATCACTGTAGGCAGTGATCGACTGGCAGGGAAGGGGTTAATTTTTATTTGGACTGGGTAAAGGGGGGTGTTTTTTTATTTTTTACTTAAACGTTATTAAAACTTTCTTTTAGCTTAAATTTTTAACTTTTTAAAGTTTATTTTAAAACTTTTTTAACCTTAACCCCTAGTTAGCCTAACACCAAATCCCCCAATTCCCCATTAACTTCCACACACCCCAGCTAGCTAAATATATAATTTAAAAATATTTAAATTAATTAATTAAATAAATTTAACCCCTGAGGGTTAAAAAAAATAATAATTAATCCTCAGGGGTTAAAAAAAAAAATCAGATGACAGTAAAATGTAATCCCTGCCAATTGATCACTGTAGTCAGTGATCAATTGGCAGGGAAGGGGTTAATTTTTAATTAAAATGAGTAAAGGGGAGGTGGGATTTTAAATAAACGTTATTTTTATTTTTTTAACAGGGGGCAGGATCAGCACTGTTCCAGCTCCCTGCACTTCACACAGAACCAGGAAATGCAGGGAGGCGGAAGGTAAGTATACTAAGCACATGTGCTCGCTCTGACATGCTGTCAGAGCGAGCTCATGTGCTGGGGCAGCACTATCGGGTGCTCCCGGTCTGCCTCTAATACAGAGGCAGACTGGAGCACCATTAACCCCGCGATCGATGCAATAGCGGCAATCCGGGGTTAATTTTAACGGGTGACGGACAAGCTCCGTCACTCGTCGTTATGGCAATCCCCTGAGTGACACTCGTCGTTAAGGGATTAAAGACCTTTTACCTCATAGTAACATTCTCTTTTCTGACAATCTTTACTTATATATATATTAGTCATGTTTCTAAAAGAATACAAAATACAGAGCAAGGAAAACATGTGCAAGCTGCTTAGTAAATGAGGATTGAGTCAACTACAAATAAATGAGTAACCAAAGGCAAAGGAAAACACATAAGATTAGCGTAGGGTATGTTTTCTAATAGCTGCATATTGTGAGTTTCCATTTGGCAATACTGCCACCGGACACATGATGCTTGGGAGGTATGACCGTTTTACTGTTTTCTGTCAATACAATTCTGTAATGAGGCCCATCGTAATTGTAAGCACAAGGCTAAATGGGCTCTTATCCCAGCCATGTTAAGGGCCATAGTCTGTTTCCAGAGGGCTGGAATCAACACCCTAACTGCATTTAGAAATGATTAATCATGGATTTCTGAAAATTAGATATATGGATTGGAACATGGTTAAGTAACAAGGCAGCAAGCACAGTAACATTCTAACCAATTCTGGTCTGCACACACAATATGTGTTTATTTAGGCAATATGTTATTCAGTATGTCACATAAAAATCTTTCCAACAACTCAACATTTTTAGCAATAAATTACAGAGTTTATGTTAATATAAATTCTGAAAATCCAGTGCAGTTAATTTTCCATCTTTAAACAAAACCGTAAATAGTTTTGTTTGCAAGAATAAAGCAGATGCTTCTGAGCACCATAGTTTTCAGATGCGACCTAGCTAATACACTGTGCCAGGTGTTCTTTGAGGAACATTCTGTAACAAACCCCAACCAGATGGAACAGACCTATTATTTTAAAATGCATTCATTGATTCTTCATGCAGTTGTCTCCTTCGTAATCCCAAGTACCCATCTGTTGATTCATCCAGTGGTAAGACATTTGTATCTCAGCATAATTAGCTGTTATGTATGGGGATATATTCTTCTTTGTACACAGTTTTGTCCAAAATCTATCCTTTTTGCAGCTTGCAGGAGCCAGTCATTAATTTACTGAGCGCTAATAGTCCATATAATCTAAAAACAGGGCAATGAGGTGAGACTAAAAGTGGAAGAGTATATAAACTTAAATCAATGTATTAGTGTTTCAACGATGGCTGCTAGGGTGAAATGAGGTAAAAAGCTCACATGCTCATGCAGGAGATCCCTTGCAGCCACGATTGATTAGAAACTTTAGGAAATCGCCCTTAAAAAAGTCAATACTTGAGAAGTGAAATGGATTCCTAAAAGTAATTAGAAAGTGCATAAAATAGAGTCAGTTTGTTGTAAAAGTAGATCAATAATAGGAATCTTAATTAAAATTTGCTCACAAGTCAGGCTCAAAAGTAAACTGAAACATGTTAACTCTTTCCTTGTGTTAGGACCTGCTATGCCATCCTAATGCAGTTAGGTCCCTCAAACACTCACTCTCTTCGCCGGATCCAATCAGAGGGACTGCATGATAACCGAGGCAGTTCCCCTGCATCCAATTCCGCCAATCCGAGTCATGTGATTGACAGATTGACTGCAGGGGACTGCTTGGGTTGTCAGGCAGATTCCAAAACATATAATTAATAAAATAAAATAATTATGTAAAAATAAAACTTAAATATACACTAAGAATTAAATTATATATGTGTGTGTGTGTTTGTGTATAAAATCCATTCTACACTATACACAAAATCCAGTGCACTCATTCATTCACTAAACAGCAACTTTCTTACGCTTTTATATTTTACTCATTTAAAGCTTCATATATAAATATTTGATGTGAAATGAAATCCCTGTTTCTCCTGAAGAAAACGATATATAACTGTAGGAGCACTTAATATGAAAACAAGTGAATTATGATTGAACAGACATTCAGATCAAATCTCAGGTTTTGTTTTGGTTCAGAACTTGTACAATTGCCTCTGTCCTTAAGGGGTTATTTGAATCCTTTTATTTAGCCTATGTCTATGTAAAGTTCAAGAAAATGCAAATACAGTATAGGTAAGGTGATTTAAGAAAAGGTTACTAGCAATTTCCATGGAGTAACAATCTCCATTAAAAAAAAAAAAAAAAAAAACAACAAGAAAAAATCTCCATGGAGTAACAATCTCCAAAAAACAAAACAGCAAAAAAAAAACCCATTATTTTCCATGGTGACTGCTACATTTCTAGAACTTTGGGAATCTTTCTATTAGTGGTACTTTGCCCCAGTGAATACAGGATGAGGCCAAAGCTTAGCTCAATGGACCTAACTGGATTTTCCTGCAAGGAGTATCCAGAAGCAGGGGATGCAGGTCTGGATGTCCTTCAAAATCCAAGTTGTCAAACTTTTCTAAAGCAGCTTGACAAATTACACTGATAACTACCAGGGCACTTCTGACACCATAAATACAAGAGGTTGTGTCTCTTTAACTGCAATTTTACCTCTGTAGGTGTGCAGTTATTGTCTTTTATGTAGTGTGTGTATGAGAATATGTATGTATGTGTATATACATGCATACATTAAAACCAAAGCTTTAAAAAAAAAAAAACATGGAACAAAACAATATATAGTGAAATGTTGAAAGAATCTTAAGTGACAGATATTTTATTGAAATCCATTTTACTTTTGTATTTGGCAGATACGAAGTGACACCTTTCAAGTGGTTAATGGAAACAGCATAATAAATTGCCATAATTCACACAATATGTTTATTGTACTACATGCTAACTTGGGAGTAGGGTTGACTGCAAAAATACCGGCAATGCCAAGGTCGGTATTTGTCTCTGACGAGACTCTGGGAGAGTGGTGAGAGAAATGGAGCCATAATATCCACCTCCATTATACATAACACAATGCTATACACAAATATTAACACACAGAATGACACAGTATACACACAACGACAAACACACTCCACACACATACACATACTGACACAAACATTCAGACACAGTACGCACACATCGCTATACATACACTAGGGAAAAGCATACACTCTGCTGTGCACACACACACATTCAGACACAGTATACAAATACTTATTCAGACAGTATAGATACAATGACGCGATACTACACACTCAGTATACATGCACTGACACAAATATACACTGGATACATGCTTCTACACATATATAATGTTACATGCAAGGACATTTGGGTTCTATTAAATTTGCCTTTTTGATACCTTGGAGTGCCTGAACCTTTTTCTCTCTTCCATCTTGGATATGGCTGACAGTATGACAGTATGACAGTAAGACAGTAAGGTCACCAGTGACATAAGCAGAGCTGCCAGTAGTTCACTTATATTAGAAAAACTATTTTAGAAAGGAGTTTAGAGTATTCCGAACTTAAGTCAAGGTAGTGCTTTTTCTTTTTTTACAAATCAAAGTGTATGGGATTTTACATTTTATCAGACCTAAAAAATTGTAATAAGAAAAGATAAGATCAAATTGAAATAAATAATTAAAAATAAAACAAAATGACAAAGAAAAATCAATGTGGCATATATATATATATATATATATATATATATATTGTATCATTAAACATATCACAGGGTGCGAGAAAATGGCATTCAATGTTACAATGTGTCTGGAATTAGTAGATTGTTGAATCATATAGTAACACCATTGTGCATATCAGGTTATATTGTTTTGTTAGATATAATACTTGTAATAGAATGAATCTGCTTCATGATGGATTATTATTTTGTTAACCTACATAAGGTGATCACTGCAAAGCATGAAGAACATTTTTGACCATTTGGGCAATTCTCACGAATTTTGGCAACATTCCTGTGACAATTATACGACATAAAAATATAGAAAATGGAGTTAATATGTCTTATCAAGTATTGGCTAAGAGTCTGCATGTTAGTCTAGGGAACCAGATCCCATTGAGTCATTTATAGAAGCTATGAACAAGTTGGGAAGATCAAAACACCTTTATTTCCCAGACTACCACATTGGTGAGCTGACCCTCACCTTCTCGTGGCAGAAACAGCTTCAGTGCTTCTTTGCAGTTTTTAATTGTATGGATGTAACTGAGTCATGGGATATAATGTCATATGTCATTACTGTCACTTTGACTCATTACACAGCAAGTGAAGTGAGAACTGAATATTTCCTGGCTGCCAGAAAAGTCAGAAATTGCTTTGTTTCTACACTAGACACCAGGGAAAGAATGCTATATATTTGATTCACAAAAATACATTTACTGAGCTTTAACGTAAAACTGTTGTGCACAAAGTTCATGGATAAAACAGTCACACAGGTAAGTATTCACCTACGCTTACACTGTGCCGGCAAATGTATAGATTTAAAGATATAGTCCATATAATCACCGAAATATTGTTTAGTATATGAGCTTGTCGGGGGAACCAAAAGGATCAGGTGTTTAAATAAACTCTTACTCACATATATAGCCACCATACATGCAGAAATACCCCCACTCATACAGACTCACAGATACAGGCACACAATCATACAGACCAAAACATACAGTCATCCAGTCATACAGACAGTGATGTATTCTGGTTTTGTGCTGCCCTAGGCATGACAAAACCCTGGCAACCCCAACTCCAAATTTCTCCTCCTGACAGACACAAACCCTCACTGATGCATGCACTGACGTACACTCACTTACAGATACACAATCATTGTCACACACACTGTTTCACCAACACACACTTTAACTGAAACACATTCAAAGACATACACACTCACAGACATACACACTCACTCATTCACAGTTACAAACACACACACTCACATTCACCGACAGACACACATATACACTAACTGACAGACATGCATTCACCAACAGACACATATACAGTCACTGACAGAAAGGCATACACCCTTATTGACAGACAAGCACTCCCTCAGTGTCAGAAACACACACACTGAGACACACATATACTCACTGACAGATACACACTGCCAAACATACATACATACTCATTGATAGACATTTATACACTCAGTGTCAGACACACACATTCACTGACAGACATGCACATTCACTGACAGATATACACTCTCAGTGACAGACACGCATACAAGCACTCTACAGACACGCTGAAAGATGCATACATACACTGGCAGACACGCATACACACTCTGACAGACACACACTCTCAGTGACAAATACACACATATTGACAGACACACATACACACTCACGGACAAACACATATACACTCTCACTAACAAACACACATAAACACTCACTGACAGACATATATACAGTCAGTGTCAGAAATACATTCACTGACAGACACACATACAACTAGCTGACAGACACATACTCGCAGACATACACATTCACTGACAGTCATGCATACACACACTGACAGGCATGCTGATACATGCAGACATATGCTGACAGACAAGCTGAAATGCGCATACATACACTATCAGACACGCTAAAACATGCATACATACGGTGAGAGACACGCTGAAACATGCATATATACACCAACAAACACACATACACATACTGACACATGCATACACACACTGTCAGTGAGAGTGTATATGTGTTTGTCAGTGTGTGTATCTGTCAAACACATACACTCACTAAGAGACACACACACTCTCACTAACAGAAACACTAACAGACACACCAACACTCACTAACACACTCACTCACATACTCACTAAAACATACTCAATTTTTTTTTTTTTTACTCACATTACTTTTTGTGCTGGAGTGTATTCTTCCCTGGGCGCCAGTGGGGCTGGCTCAGCAGGCACATGTGGGCTGGCTCGGCAGGCACAGACGGGCAGACAGGCAGGTGAACGGTGGAGATGGGCGGCAAGGGAGCTTTGATCCTCCTGCTCAGCTCCCTTGTGCGCCCTTCAATGATGCCGGGGCCGGAGTAACATCATATTCTGGCTCCTGCATCAATGCATGCCAGCCTGAGGGGGGTCCTGAGGTGGCCAGGCGGCCAGCTCCTGGGCACTCCACAACAAGAGGCTGGCAAGCCACCCCCTTGAAAGTGCCGCCCAAGGCAAATGCATTGTCAGCCTTGTGCTAAATATAGTGCTGCATACAGATCAAACATACAGTCACACACTGATACAGACCCACACAAACAGGCACCCACTCATACAGACTCACACATACAGACCAAAACATACAGTCACCCAGTCATACAGACTCACACATACAGTCACACACTGACACAGAACCACACATACAGTCACAGTAGGGAAAAAGTCAGTGTGCCACGACTTACATGTAGAGGGCAGGCTGAGCACAAATAAACAAAGTGTGTCAGCAACAGACTAGAGCTTGCAGGCAAGGATGACCAAGGGAGTGCAGTCCCAAAAATGGCCCTGGTTTCTATTCCAGTGTGGTTATCAAAGGTGCATGGGGTGACTGTGCATTCAGCTGTTATTTTCCTACATGATGTCTGTAGCATCTCAGAGATGGAGATGGTTACAGAATGCAGTTGAACGGGAGCTATTCTGGGATACCAATGCTTCATATGAAGTAAGGGTGCCTATTCAGACAGTAGACCCCATATTTAAAGACCCCATATTTGAAGACTCCATATTTGTAGTACATAATGCTAAGCCTCTGGCAAAATAATAAATAAAAATGGGAATTACTTTCAAACTGTATATTTGGTAGAAATATGGTTAGCACAGTGTATATATATATATACACAATATAGTTGCTTGTAAAGTGGCACAATGTTCATAACAAACGCATTTTAAGATTGATACGGTGAGTCGTTTGCTGTGAAGCACTGACATTTTCTCATACACACTGTACATGTGGGGCGTGAAGAATTTAAGTACAGTGATAGACTGACCCCCGATAAGGGAGTCATTCTGAAGCAGATGATGTAACTCATTCCATAGTCCTGACAAACATTAAAGCAAACTTTAAAAAGACTTTATGTAGGCCTTTCTGCATGTTTTAAGTAAAGAAAGCGAGGTCTGTGAGAGAATCCCAACAGGATTTTGTCACCAAGGAAAGTAACGGACCTTCTGTAAAGAGAGAAACAAAGTAATCAGTGACTGGAAGAGACAAGAAACACAAGCGTAACTTTGCTTGCCACAACATGGAAAGAGTTGCAAATGAACATTAAGAGCAATTTAACAACATGCATTTCAGCCAGTGATACTTTTCAATGCATTCTGGAAAAATGTAGAAAAAAAAAAACCTTATGCCCAACAGCTCCTCATTCAGCAGGTCTTTTCATCAAAAGAGATTTACACGAGAGAAATAAGACATTTTGCCTGATTTGTTATTCTGCTTAGCTTATTCATCAAAATGTCTAAAACGCTTCAGTGCTTGATGGATTGGTTGCATAAAATAACACAAGAATTTCTTATTTTGTGACCCCCAGTGAGAGAAGACAGAACCAGTGTGTGCTAGATTTCTTGTGCGTATGTTAAAACCTGAGTCATTCCGTTAGTCTCTGAATTTAGATAGGCTCCCCTGTGTGTCCATAATGTGCTCATAGAGTTGTGTGACCATTACTGAGGAGATACATCTTTTGTATAGTATTCTGTAAACGTATATTTCAAATAACCAGTCTCCATTTCAATCTGGGTAAACTGGTTTAGTAATGTATATTAATCTTAAATAGATATGCTGTATGTATTTTAAAGGGAGACTCCAAGATGAGGGATAACCCTTTTAATGCCTTATGTAACATAATCTCTGCTTAGTACAATTTATGGGATATTTAGATCAGTATTGGACAATATTTCAGTTTCTTAAAGTCAAATGAAACTGCATTACAATCTGTTTTAAAGAATCTGAGGAATTATCAAGAAGTGTCAATCCCCAGATAGAATGCAGGTAATTGGCTCTGTCTATGGATGATCATGCTTACATTCAAACACACTAACACTGCTCACACATACAATCATGCAAGGATGGGCAAATGGTAGATCTCTAGCTGGCAAAACATTGTGGTGGTTGCAGGACAGTTGAAGATTTACCGTTTAGCCACCCTTGTGCTAGAGTGTAGTCCAAATATATTTTTAGAAGGCCCTCTATACATTAGTTCCTCCCCTGGTCTGCACACCAAAACTGCTTCATTAAGGTAAAGTTGTTTTGAAGCTTGGAGTGTGCCTTTAAGGGCTAGTATGTTAGATACAGAAGTCTCAGTAACTCATTCATGTTTTTTGACTGTGGCTGATGCATAGGTTCTATGATAAAAAAGCATGGTTACATTACAAGTGTGTGTCTGCTTTAGTGGCCTCTAGTAATATGTGTAACATTGTAGATGCGCACAGTAGTGTTCAGTGTGAATGACTGTATAATAGAGCCTCACAGTTATGTGCTGTATGTAGCCAACAGCAGTAAAACTCACATTAATGAGAAAAGCATGGCCACATTTTAATTAAAAAAAAATCACCATATATATAGGCTTAAGTAGAAACCAATCCTGTCCTAAAAAATCATCTCATATTTTCATATTTTCTCTTATATTTTGTTTGGTTTAAAATCCAATTGGCTTTGCATCCTTAAAGGCGATTTCTGTTCCATTCTGTGTCACTCAGATATGGAACATTGAATGGATATGGCTGCTCTAGTTTGCAGGCCTCAATTTGAAACTGTCCTCTAGGAATTGATACAATTGTTAAGTATGCAAAATACTAGTACACTACTTATCAAGCAAGTCTACACTGAGAGAACCCTCAGGAGACATACAGAATAGATCCAGTTGAGTTATCATTTGACCAAACCTTGTTGATTATCGTTTATATTCCCAGCGTATTTTGAGTGAAGAATACCATACAGCAATTCATTCCTCTTTCAGTTTTCCTACCTTTACTATGCACTCTCAATTATATTCCGAGAGATGCTAATCTGGAATGGGGAAAAAATTATTTCCTTTCAATTTAAACACAGAGCCAAGGACAATAAGTTAAATGCCAAAAAAAAAAACTCACACAGAGTAACTAATTGTGGTTCTGTCCAGTGGGGAAACACTTAAAATAGCTGGTGAAAGCTCTCAATCCATTGAGGAAACTGCTTTTCTTACTGAATGATGTATTATTGCTTGGTCCTGGGACAACACATAAGGGGTTATGCCTTCTTGTAAACATGATTGCATTTGTACGCTGTGTTCTTGGGCAAAGGTAACTATAACATCTCCAGTGCCAAGAGTTATTCACATATGTACTACTAGCCATGCACACTATCAAGCCATATGCAAAACATTATCTTTGGGATGAGTTTGGCTGAGTAAATAGGAGATATTTACCAAAGTGTTCACAACAGTGACAGTTAAATTCCGTCATTGTTTTGATTGTAGTTTTTAGTTTTCTAAAACTGATCTGAACAGGGGCAGTTTTCTTCATAGTAAAATCTGCCAGTTTTCACAGAAACTTAGATTTCAGAAGTTTGCAAAATGAAGAGTGGTGGAAAACAGAGAAGAGAAACAGAACCCTTTTTTTGTCAGGAAGACTGATAAACCCATCGCTTCAAGAAAAAAAGGTATACATTCAAACATGATGGTTGGAAAGCAAAAAGTAACAGATGGAAAAAAAAACTAATGAGTGAAGTAAAATAAATATCTCCGAAAACCATAAAAGTGTCAGAAACACTTTAATAAATCATCCCCAATGGCATGATGTTACGCAGTGTTATATTGTATTTCTTAGCCCCTCATCTTTGTTATGCCCATGACTGGGTGCAAGATGATATGCTGTTACCTATTACTATTTTGTTCCTAAGGTATTGAAGAATGCTTAAGATTGCTTAAACACAATTGAATGTACTTTAAACCTTCAAATATATATATCTGTGATGGAGTTCCAAACAAGCAACTCATTATCTGCTATTACATATTGTATTGCGCAAGTAGCATAGGACCTTTAAGGTCAGATAACTGGAAGAGAGAAAGGGTTCCATTTTCATTTCAACGTAACAGGTTATGGAGAAGCATAATTTGTTAGAGGATGAACAGAGAGCAGGTAGAATAATCCATGTGAGCTCAGGACGGGTTCAATAAAACATATAGGAGAAGTCTTTTACGGAGTTTCACTTCACTTTTTGTTGAATCAATACCATATCTTGATTGCCGCTATTATTTTAGCCAAGGTGATATGGAAGTATATTTAAGAATACAAGTCTAATCCAAACCTGCCACAATAAGGAGTTATAATTAACTATTTTTAAATTGTTTAAATGTAGGCACAATCTTACACGTCAAATAATCAGGAAGAAGCATTGTAAGAAGCTAATGCCTTTCAAGATACGATATGGTCTGGGTTTTTATGGTTTTTATGAGTTTGTTGGGTAAATGTTTCTAGTATCAAATGAACATTGGAGTGGACTCTAAGAGGTTCTTTAGATTGTAAGCTCATTTGGGCAGGGCTCTCCTCACCTACTGTTCCTGTATGTCATACGCATTTACGTGCAAGGTACGTTAAATTAGGCATTCAGAGAAAGCTTTGTTTAATAAATAATAATTTTGCTAAAAGAGGTACAAAGTACACATTTTTGCTCTAATGATAATTAGGTGTATACAGAGACTTTCTTCAGAAAGATAATAAGCTAAGCCCAACTCACACATAAATGCCGAGACAGACCTAAACACGGGGCAGAAAGGGCATTTTGTCACTGCATTAAGGTGTGCTTAGGTACACTCTTCCCATGGGACCAGGGATCTTCCAAAGATGATGAAGCTCATGCACAGTGAGATGCTATATGTATCTATTGCACATGATATAAAATGATGTCTGTGTCCAATCTTCAAGGTCGATGGCTGATGGACAGTGACAAGATGTGCTGGGAGACGCTCCACCCATTGCAACATTTTACTATAAAACATCTGGCTATTAACATAAAGTAATTAAATGATATACACTGCTCAAAAAATAAAGGGAACACAAAAAAAAATCACATCCTAGATCTGAATGAATTAAATATTCTTCTGAAATACTTTGTTTTTTACATAGTTGAATGTGCTGACAACAAAATCACACAAAAATAAAAAAATAGAAATCAAATTTTTCAACCCATGGAGGTCTGGATTTGGAGTCACACTCAAAATTAAAGTGGAAAAACACACTACAGGCTGATCCAACTTTGATGTAATGTCCTTAAACAAGTCAAAATGAGGCTCAGTAGTGTGTGTGGTCTCCATGTGCCTGTATGACCACCCTCTAATGCCTGTGCATGCTCCTGATGAGGTGGCGGATGGTCTCCTGAGGGATGTCCTCCCAGACGTGGACTAAAGCATCTGCCAACTCCTGGACAGTGTGTGGTGCAACGTGACGGTGGATGGAGCGAGACATGATGTCCCAGATGTGCGCAATTGGATTCAGGTCTGGGTAATGGGCAGGCCAGTCCATAGCATCAATACCTTTGTCTTGCAGGAACTGCTGACACACTCCAGCCACATGAGATCTAGCATTGTCTTGCATTAGGAGGAACCCAGGGCCAACCGCACAAGCATATGGTCTCACAAGGGGTCTGAGGATCTCATCTCGGTACCTAATGGCAGTCAGGCAACCTCTGGTGAGTATATGGAGGGCTGTGCAGCCCCCCAAAGAAATGCCACCCCTCACCATTACTGACCCACTGCCAAACCGGTCATGCTGGAGGATGTTGCAGGCAGCAGAACGTTCTCCACGGCGTCTCCAGGCTCTGTCACGTCTGTCACATGTGCTCAGTGCGAACCTGCTTTCATTTGTGAAGAGCACAGGGCGCCAGTTGCGAATTTGCCAATCTCAGTGTTCTCTGGCAAATGCCAAACGTCTTGCACGGTGTTGGGCTGTAAGCACAACCCCCACCTGTGGACGTCGGGCCCTCATATCACCCTCATGGAGTCTGTTTCTGACCGTTTGAGCAGACACATGGTCATTTTTCAGAGCTCTGGCAGTGCTCCTCCTGTTCCTCCTTGCACAAAGGTGGAGGTAGCGGTCTTGCTGCTGGGTTGTTGCCCTTTATTTTTTTGAGCAGTGTATTATGATCACAATGAAAACCCAATCAAACATTTGATTGAAGACCAAAGCAATCTTTTTATTCCATTCATCTCCATTAACAAAATGTTTATAAACAGTCACCCATCCTTGTGCTCAATTTACACAAACTTAACCCCTTAAAGACAAAGATTTTTTTGAGCTTGAGCGTGTTTGTGACCAAGGCCTTTTTGGTGTTTCTGCCTTGCATTCATTCTACCACAATGTCCCCCATCTGTTTCAGTGCACCCATACATGTTATATATCATTTCTAAAGGGGAGCTTTCATCCTATATGAATACATAGCGCAATATTTAATAGGAATAAAATATTTTACAAAAATGGGGAATAAAAAAAAAATCAGTTTTATATTAAATAATTTCTACACACCACGTTTCCTCCTAGGATTTCCTGATACTTTAATGAATCCATCTTGCCTTCCACACGCTGCAGGTTTCCAGTTCCAGAGGATGCAAAGCAGTCCCAGAGCATGTAGTGGAGATGCAATGCTGAGACTGAATATCTCCGCTGTAATCCTCTAGAGCTGGAATTGAAGCCTTGGTTAGTAGATATAACCCATTCCCACAGTAACTGCACGACGCACAGTTCTGGGAGTCTGTAGATTTTATTCTGACCACACATGTCTTTTATGCACAAACCCCTACATAGGGTCTCCTCTACAAAAATACAGGGCTTCTACTCCCAAGATCCACCGAGAGATAATTGCGTGAAAAAACCTATAACTTAATTATCTCTCAGGTACAGAAAAATCTACACTATTTTAAAACACCCCAAAAATACATTTTAATACTTCAGAACCCCACGGAAGTCACATCACTGAATAGCTTGGATCTGATCGCACACTTTGACGAAATATCACTCAGATATCTTCAGTGGTTTGGGAACGCCATTCAGATTAAGTTTTGAACGGTCGGCCACAAGTCGATGCCCCAAAACACTTCCAGAGAAAACCAGGCAATGACCGGTCATCTTTTGGAGGTTCTCGCACGAACACTGACAAAAGCTCCCCCTGGCAGTTAGTGTTCGAATGTTTCCCTTGTTCAGTAGTTTATGTCTCCCGAACGCTGTTCGTATAACTGTTCGGGAAGTTGGATGGGCAGCGGTACCAGTTTACCGGGTGTTCGCGTGGTCGTGTAGCCGAAAAAAGTTCCACGCCGTCGACATCCATGTACCGTTGCCCGCGTTTGGGAGACAAAATGGTTGCCATTTGTTTGCCCACAGCATCATTAAACCACCACCATGCTTAACTGTAGGTCACACAGGGAAAGCACTCAAGTACTCCTTAATTGCGGTTAACAGCCAGGGGTGGTCGGTGTTCTAATTCAATAACAGGGGGGGACCACACACGCTCGGTTCCTGAACAGTGGCATACATGTTTGTTCATACAAACTTAATATGGGTTCAGGGAATCCCAGGGACTGATGCCATGTCCGCCACACAGCATCATTAAACCACCACCATGCTTAACTGTAGGCAGAGTCTTCTTTTTAGCATATGGTTCATTCTTTTTTCTCCAGACATACCGCTGATCCATTGGGCCAAAAAGTTCCAGTTTTGTTTAATCGCTCCACAAAACAGAATCCCAAAATTTATGTGGCTTATTTATTTGATTTTGAGCATATTGGAGCCAATGTTTCTTGTGCTTTTGGGTCAGTAGTGGTGTATATCTTGGAGTTCTGGCATGGAAACCTTCTGACTTTAGTGCATGCCTTACTGTGCTCACTGAAACCTCAGTGCCTGTTCTCTCCCTAAGTCTTGCTGCAGGTCTTTTGCAGTAACTCGAACCTGCCTTCTCAGAAATCTGGTTGCAGCCAGTGATAGCTTCCTTTTACTGTCCCGTCCAGGTAGTGTAACGGCTGTTCCTGGAACTTGCAAACTATGCTTCCGATGGTGTCTGAATAGGAATTTTCAGTGCCTTCGCTATCTTTTTTTAAACCTGTTCCTTGTTTGTGAAAGACGATGATCTCTTCTCTTAAATTTGTGGACAATTCTTCTGACTTAGCCATATTTCTAACATGCAGTCAAACATGACACTCAGCAAAACCCTAGCCAGTTCAGGTATTTCAAGTGATCCAGCTCAAGCACACCTGGTGCAACTATTGAAGCCCTTGTTTAGTTGAATCAGGTGTGCTTGAGACAATACCTGTTTTGCATATTTGTGCTGTTGTTTTTTATTCAGGGTGTTTAATAATTTGCGAGACTGGATAAGTTATTATAAGTTGCATAGTAAACTGAACAAGATTTAAAGGGATATGAGCATGCTCACTTTGAGTACTGCTCATAGATAATCTGTCAGTCTAGTACCATCAAGGGTGTTACTGCAAGATGGTCTATTCTGTTACTGGCTCCTGGCTACATGACAGCATAGACTGTCATCTGGTTGTTAAGTGGTTAAGAAGCAAATTACCTTTCCTCACATTTGTATTGTTTTAAATGAAATAATTTAGAAAGACTGTTTTAATAGAAATGCCAAATACAAATGCCACATATAAATGTCAGCAAGCATAATATTACGCATATACACAAACAACTGAACAGACAGAAATGCTTAGTCTTCTACCCACATTTCTTGATAAAAGAGCAAATAAACAGCAGATAATTTGTTTCTGAAACATATAACATTACAAATTGCTAATTTAACGCAAAAGTAAAGCGCTAGTAGTCAAATGTTAAAGGGGACTTTTCTGAACACTTATGGAAGTTGCATTAACTTGTGTTTAGCAATTTTGTTAAATGTCGGTAACAAAGTTGCTCTTGCGGTATTGTGAACACCACACACAAGTTTGAAACTTGCTTTGCGAGTAAAACTTAGTCGAGATGGGCATATGAATAAAAGAGGCTTTCCGTGTGTAAAATTGTACAAATGTTATTAGAAAGGTAAAAATATCTACCCACATCACCTTAGCAGCTAAAACGTGCATAGCCGCCTTGTGGAAAACAACGACAGTACCTGACATAAAAACAGTACTCGCCAAAATAAGCCTCACCCAACAGTACGAGCAGATGGCACATACAATAGGTGGCACATTAGAACACTACAACAGGACATGGTCCAAGTGGTGATGCCTGGGTGAAGGACGAATTACGCCCCACCTAGCTGACAAACTACGCCCCACCTAGCCTCCAAGCACGAGAGCATCTCACCCCCTTTCCCCCCCCCCCGTACTACACCCTTATCCCAGTTCACCCCCCCCCATACACAAAATAAGGGCTTACGTTGCCCTACCGAGCCTTAAAATATGAGATGATGAGCAGGTGAATTAGTTCCCAGCCTACAAGACACGACACTACACAAATAAACAAACAACACGCAAAGGTGATACGAACCCGGTTGCTAACCATCGGGCCCACCCCAAAGAAGAGTGGAGGATACAGGTGGGAGGCTGACCACCGGAGGCCAGGGAGAAGCCACTTAGAGGCATGATAACACACACCAGAAAGCATGCCCAGTCTACCGGGTACTAAAATCAAGGCACTACTCACCACCTGTAACAAAAGCATGATTGTTGCTTGAAACAACACTCTGTACCATTACTACGAGGATGTATTGTAAAATGCCATTGTACAATGTTATCACTATATACTCTCTGTTATGCAATATGTATGAAACGTAAAATGTAGTTTAAAGTGTCAATCCGAAACCTTTTCATCTCAATAAAAATGAAACATTTAAAAAAAAAAAAGAAAGGTAAAAATATGCTTACATTAAATCAGAGTATTCCCAAATACTACTGTCACAGTCTCTGATTGTAGGTGTTTCGCGTCTCGCATCCTCTGCAGATCTCCTTCAGTGTTCCATCTTGACTTTTAGACAGACTGCCTGCAAGGTAATCATGGCAATCAGATGCATTTCCTCTTACTCCTGATACTTTCTCATTGGCTGACAAGTGCTGTCTGTTCAATATAATTTTTTATTGATAACGATTAAGCTACAAGGTAGTGAATTGAAGCCGATACAAAAGCAAAATAAATGTTACAAAGAATGTGTTTCATAATGTATAATACCATAGATTGTAAAAGGAGGCAATTAAGGAAACAGGGAAAAAAATGTAAGCCAATATATCAATTTATAAAAACAGAAGTCAGATACATTAAAAAAAAACAAAAAACTAACATTGTTAAATATGTAAGTGGCATATGCAACATTGTTTAATTAAAAAAAGTCTTACATTGATATGGGTTATATAATCAAATGGTAAATATCATAAAACAGTGAAATTAAAAAGAATACATTTGAGCCAATATATGGTAAAAATTAAAAATGTAGTATTAAAAACATTGTAAGGGGATATTATTGTCTTTCCATTCAAACTCTTTCAAAATTCTCAAAATGCTTGGGGTATCTTTCAAATATAATTTAGCTTTTATCACATATGGTTGTAGAAATATGTCTATGTACTGAGATAGGTTGGCCATTAAGGAATGGATTCCTGAGAATATTGGCCTTCCTAGGGCATTACATTATGCATATCTTTATATATTTTTGGTAGATAATAAAATATTGGAATTTGCAGGAAATTCATTAAAGATAAATTGTATTACTTTTTGCTTAATATTCCATTTAATAGCCCTCTCTCTAACACACGTTCTAGTGTTTCCATATTTTCTTTTGTTGAATAGAAGATAGAAGTTTTTAGATAGAAGTGTATGTTTCTCTGCCACCTAGTAATCTGATTGATTCCTTTGTGTATTGTTCTTTAGACAAAATTACTATTTCCCCATATTTGTTGGCTTGTTTTATAACCAAGTTTTAATTTCCTGCTAATTCCTTTAGAGCTGTCCTTTCAATGTTTGTGAGATTGTCGTTTCTGTAATATTTTTCTACATCACATTTACTCGGACACACGCAGCTGTTTGTTGGAACCTGAATCCAAATTGAGCAGTGGTACATGAATGCTTTGTTTTTGGTTTTTTTATTGTGGATCAGCCACAGTATTTGGGACCGTTATAGCCCAGAGGTTTATTGCTACTCCAAGGATATTGTGAAGTGTTATGTGTTTGGAGCACTTACGTGTGAAACACGGTTATTAGTGTCCCTGAATAGCTTTCGCAAGGAGTACTTTCTGCAAGGAGCGTTCCTGGAAGGAGCCCTCTCTAAAAGGAACACTTTATCGTCATTACTCCAGATATTATTCCTGCGGCCATCTGGTTCTCTCTGTCACACAGGTACTATAGTATATTCGGATTGTGGACATTTACTTGGGACTATTGTCCTGCTCATTGTCCACTGATATTGTTGAGTGCGTGTGCTATATTATCATCTTTGTTTCACTGTGGTGTTTATATTCGTGCTACTTGAATTTTATAAGTGTGGCTGTACAACAGTATCAACTCTGTTCTTAAAGAGTCCTCCATCTTCCTACATTTATGGTGTGCGTTTATTTTATTGTGCAATTTTAAATATATATATATATATATATATATATATAAAGGGCTGTAGTATGTTTTTTTAGGAGACAGGGGCTTTAGTGTGTGTGTGTTGGTGGATAGCTGCTGTAGTGTGTGTTAGGAGAAATAGAGACTATAGTGTGTGTGTTTGTGTGAAAATTGTGGGATAGTGTGTGAATCTTTCTAACAATGTTTGTAACTTGAAATTCAGGCCCTGAACAAGGCATTTTGTGAACTGGGGTTTTGTTTTGTTTTTCATTTTTTTTTCAACTATTCTTTTTTTTCAGCCCTCAAAAAATGGCATATGAAATTCCATAATTTCCGACGCAACTAATGAAAAAAAACCCAGATTCAATAAACAAATAAATAAAAAAACAAAACATTTTTAAAATGTGTCACAATAAAAATAATGAATCTTTACCCTGTAAAGGCTCAGAGGAGAAAGCCCATATAAGGGCTTTTGCACACTGTGTGGGGAAATGTTCTACATTATGCAATGTCAATCAGCCATTAGTGACTGATTGGTTGCCTAGCAAGCCTACTAGTCAGAGCGCTCTAACTGGCAAGTCTCGACAAGCTTGCCACACTGGTCGATGTATTTCAAAGAATACATTAAAAATGTGAATCAACCTGTGTGTTCAGGAATCTGCGGGCCCACATCAGGGCTTCAGTCCTAAAGGGCCTCCATCAGTAATACTATACTATACTATACTATAGTCTCATACCTTCTCTTATAATAAAAAATAATAATAATATATATATATATATATATATATATATATATATATCCAAGCCCATAGCAATAAAAGATGAACATCATGAGCTATGGAACATATGTGGGATTGTTGCACCAGCAGGCATCCTGATTAATGCAGACATGGATGGCAAAAGAGTAATGTACAGCAGCTTCATCACAAATTCATTATTTCTAGGACATGAAGCAATGACAGAGTATTCTAAACACCAGTAAATCATCGGGTTTCCCGTGCTTCTAATTATATTCCTGTTATGATTAATGGAAACTTCTGGATAGTTAATTGAACACAATTTTCTTACTGGCTCTGGGAATTGTAAAATTACAGTTCCATAGAAGCAATGGATTGCATTTTGTGTGCTTCAAGTTTAATAGAACTAAATTTATTTTGCAGCTGTACTGTTGTGGTTTGTTTTCCTTTGATGTGTTTTGTGTTAATGCATATTAAAGGCTCTATGTACTGGTCTCCTTAAGGTGATATTGTCACCTGAAAATGTATTTTCATAAATTAGTTTAACCCATTAGTGACTAAACCTTTTCCAAGATCTAATGTGTTCATGACTGAAGCTTTTTGGGTGTTTTGTTTCCTGTGTTTGGATCCTCTATTTACCCAGTTTTGCACTAAGTGGTACCCATACATATGCAATATCATGATTTTAAAAGACAGATAGGGATTTCTTATTATACACTAATGGTTTGCCTAGAACAATATTAAATATTAATAAAATATTAGCAAATTGAATAAAATATATACTTTATTTCATTGTTTTGCTTATAAGAATTTCTATTTTTATAGGACAAGTATTGCAAGGAGTGTATTATGATTTTAAAGCTAAATCTTTATAACATTTGGTCTGAGATTATAATGTAAATAGCAACTACAGAATGACTCAACAAAAGTATATAGTTGTAGAAAGTAGACCCCTAGGGTAATTAAGAGCATTTTGTTTGAAACTTTTCATTTAACTATTTTATCACCAACCATTTCTGATTATTTTTAACATATTTCACTTTCATGGGGAATTTCACAAACCTTGTGTGTCCCACTGGCATAAAAACTCCAGATTTGCATTCTACTAAACCACATATAAATATTTGTACGTATAACTCCTCAAAACTCTGGCAAACATGCCCATTTCAGTTTTTACATTTTCATTCATTGATTTATTTTATCCATGTCCCATTTGGAAAATCAAATCTACTGTAATTTAACCCCATTATGGCATACCTTGGCACGATATAACCTAACTAACCTTGACCATATCTAATCCTAGCCCTATGGAACCCTCACCATAGAAAACACTAACACTAGCAATGCCCAGGTTAGTAAATTGAGCCTCGGCCCCAAAGCTAAGTGGTCGTCCTGAGAGCCAATCTGTCACGGGTGGCGGTATGGAAACCGGGACCCCTGAGTGCCTGATGAGAAGTTGGGAGTCTTCAGCATGGAAGTGGATTATCAGGGTCTGGTGCAGGGCAACCACATGCCCCCTGGTGTTGAGCACCAGCGTTTGTGCAGCCACAAACCAGAACCCTGATGCAGCTTATGCAGATCCCAGTAACTAGGAGCTTGATATGCAGACCTCCCAGGAACTGGATAGGGAGGCTCTGCAGCAGACATGTATCCAGTACAGAAACAAGGCAAGACTAGAACAGGCACCAAACATGAAAACAAGACAGAACTAATAGAACTCAGAACCAGAGAAGGATAGGAATTATATGAAAAGGAATTAGAAATGATATGGAATTATATGATCATACATTGCATAAGCCTGCCACAACGCCAATGTACCCCATATTCGGCAGGCCCTACACTGCCTAATGCAAGCTAAACCAACCAAAGAAAACAAACATAGCACTTACCTGCAAGAAAGGGCAGAAGTCATGAAACACTGCTGCAGGTCCAGACTGAAACAAAAGGAAAATAGAAAACAAACGGGTGTGGCAACATAAAACAAACATATAAATGAATCCAGGAGACTGGGAATACCAGGGACGGAATAATGGAATGAACACAGAAAAACCCAGCATAAAGAAAACCAGACATGGAATAGAAAACCAAAAAAACAAGAAAAACTAAACAAGAATTGTAAAAAGAGTACTGGATACCAGAAACCAAAGCCAGACATCTCCGCAGAACAGAACAGGATGTGACACAATCACAGAAATTACAACTTTTTGTAAGCTGATGTTCCTGCATATGGATTTTAATCGAACAGAAAAAAAAGCTAAATATTAGACTTTTCCTAATTTTTCATGTAGAGCTTACCATGGTATCTGCTGATGTGTAAACAGTTAATTTCATGGATGTAATGTTTAGGGAGCTTGGCAGAAACACTGAGAATACAAGGGAATTCTTACACATGGTTAATTTTTTATAGGTGTTGCATTTTCCTTTACTACTTTCCAGAAACCAATACACCTGCCTCGGTATAATGGAACCATTACAGACAATTCCATTGGATTTTCTGTCGTATTGCGTCCACTACAAGTATATTCCACTCTAGACCTTTACGTTACACTAGGGTCAGCTCCTCCTGTGTCCTGGGTTTCAAGTTATGGTGGTTCCAGATCCTTTGTCTTCCCTGCTTCCAGGCATAATAATATGGCTTGCTTGCATGAGTTGGACAACCTACATTTTTACACGTTGGAATGCATCACATACAGTTACAGAAACATGTTACTCTATCCAGCAAACACTGTACTATTTTCCTTAGTTAGATTGTTGAAATAAATGTGCCACAAAGATATGTATTAGTGCTTTTTTCAAACAGGGGGAAATATTTAAGGTATTAAAGGCCTCATAATTTAACAGACTTGGTTAAGCCTTGCTCTTTACATTTGGATATAGAAGCTGTCAGTTAAGAATGGGGATTGGTGTGTGTTTGCTCTTTTTATATAAACCAAGTCCATTACCATAAGTGGAGATGTCAGGGATCTTCATCACTAAATTTTGTTAGCAGGAAAGGTGACAAAAGTACATTTTAGAACATGCAGCTCTGATGTATTTAAATTCTAGCCAACTGTGTCTAGCTTTTGTCTCTCAAAGCCATAGGCAAACATTGTGGGAATCCTCTATATAAGGTGAAATACTATTGGTCATGTGTATTTTACTGCTATACTAATATGTAATTTAAAAATCCAAAAAATGCATGATATATACAGATTAATTTGTTATCTTTACAATCACTCTCTCATATGTCTACACAATTCTCTGTAACCGTCACAGTCTACAACTTTTCATTTTATTTTTTTTTAGGGGAAAAAATGTATATAAAACCAACCCCTGATAAACCACTTGTTATAAACATATCTATGCCCTATCTAAGAAAGCATGCAATTTTTTTAGCTTCTCCCATGATTCTGGATCTGCGTCCACAATCTCTTCAACTGATAGAATGGAAATAGAATGGAAGAAACTAAAACATATGTTGGTTTTCCTGTAATCTCTACCATGTGCTGGAGAGTATGAAATATAATTTTGGAATGGGCACAGCCTTGGTGGTTTTCTGTCAAATTACTTTCTACGTGGGATGTTCTTGAAGACCAAGATAAACGTTTGAGTATTGAAGTGAACTTGGGTCTAGTCACATGCTTGTCAACATAGATTGAAAAAATGTCTTTCTGGAGGGGTTCAGCTATATTATTTTTTATACCTAATGGAACAAAGAATAGACAGAATGCCACCAAAATTAGAGTCAATTGCTGGATCATTATTATTCATGAGTAAAGATCTTCAGGTTCCAGATTCCAATGTTATTCTTGCACACTCTACAGGAGTTATCTACCCTTTTTGGGCATCTGCTGCTAAGGCTTCCGCTGAACAGATTTACTGAGCAGCTTTAAGGATTTGCTGTGCCAAGTGTTAGCCAGAATATTGAAGCTGTAGTTCAGCAAAGCTTTGGAGCTACTTGTAATTCATTCATGATTCTGTAATCTCATCTTTTGCTCCATTTCATTGTATTCTGCATGTTGTCCAACCTGTAATTCTATTGTTTTGTTGGTCAAATAGTATGCAACATACTTCTTCATCATTTCAATGCATGTGAAAGATCTAAGATGATATATTACCTTGATATGATGTTTGATGCATTTTGTTAGATGATACTAACTGTAAAGCACTATAAACAGAATATCTGTATTTAAGCCATATCTACCCTTATTATAGGTTTCTTTTTCTACCTGAACTAGCATTTACAGATTACAGATAGAAGAGAAATGATGAGGGAATATATCTGTTGTGTCCTTTGATTTGTGTGCTACTGATGTGAAAAAAATATAATTGCAGCTCTTCAGGGACCAGCTCACACAATCATGGAGCACACTCTTAGTCTTCGTGTTTTGAATTATCCTCAGAGAATAGGACTGAAATGCTGAAAGAAGGTTTAATGTGTCCCATCTATTGCATTATTTTTTTGAAGACCCTAGAATTGTATTGCTCCCACAGCTTCTACAATGTTCTTGATTTCGTTTTAACAGCTGAAAACTGTTGATAAATATAATGGACAATATATTTTTTACATTTCATCTGGATTTAATAACAGCTAATATTCTTGCAGCCAAACCTGATAAATGGATTGGCTGCTTACTTAAAAATCCCCCAATAAATGAACTTTGGAAGAAAATTTTTGGCCTTTTCTAATGACTACCCAAGTTAATCATTAAAAAAATCCATTAAAAGCCTAGGGGGGTCAATATTATAGTGGTCACACACCATGCCACTGGTGGGTGCATGTCACCAGACAGTGCCTGTCTTCTTAAATAAAAACTATTGTCCCCCCAATTAACCCACCAGTGATCTTTGAATGGAGGGGTTTAAATTGAATGATGACAATGATCTTTCCACCCCTTGTGCACACACTTGTGGCAAGCACATAGGAGCTATTACATTAACCCCTTAAGGACACCTTTTATTCCAGAAGTTTGGTCCTTACGGGGAGACATCTTAGTGCCCTCTCGACACCACGGTGGGGGCATTTAATTAAATTAAAAAAAACTTGTGTCCACCTCAGCTCCAATCATGGTCAGCAGGTGGGGGCTATAATTATAAGAAATAGGTGGGGCCACACACCAGCGTCATGATGAGTGGGGGCATGTTGGAGGTATAAAACCTCCCTTGTACTAATGTGAAGGTCACATTGACCACCATGGGCCTTTTATTTTTAACTATTTGACTACTGGCTGCTAGTGCATTTATTAGTAGTTTATTAACTACTTTTAGCTGTCAAATCCGCTATGCATCTGTTAAATGGGATTGAATCTCCGAAGCCTATATTTTGAATGTAAAATATAGCTATCTAATTCCATAATCAAAAACATGAATTGTTGGCTTCCAGTAAACTTTTAAGATGCCAGCATGCAAGGTACACAATGGGCACCCGTTGAATATTTTTTGTTCAACAAATGAGAAATTCATGTGGGGCTTTGGTGCCACAAGAGGAACACAAACCTCATGTCATTTTCTCCATTAATAATGCTTAAACCCAGAAGATGTGCCTATTGCAGAGTCGACTTCATGGGAATTTGACAAGGGTCATTTAAATGTGCTCTCCCACTTCAAATCATTACAAGAGAATTAAGGAAAAGCTATATTCAATTTATGGAGTGAAAGCCTGTTTTGAAAATCTGCAACGTGCTGAAAGAAAAAAAAAAATCAGAGATTGATCCTTATGGCCATCCTTAACAGGTATTTGCACAGAGGACACACCTAGAGATGGCACCACAACACTGCAGAAATCATGCCATCAGCTGACCGACTGTCATTGCTGGGCTGCCAATGCATCACACAAATGTCTTGAAGAACTGTTGTGAAAAACTGTCTCCTCGAGCAGCGTGATGGTGACTGGGAAATATCTCTATTGCTCTCGGTGCTTGTAGCCTTTGAAAGAATCCTACACAATGCAAGGAAGCATAGATGCCAAGAGAGGTGACCCTTTTAATATTCACCTCTCAGGCTCACTCCATTAGACCTCCAGTAAGGAGTACCCTTCATCTTTAGGAAAAAGGGATGGGAGCGCAGAAGTGGTCTGGAATCCTCCCAAGGTTAGTAGTCAAACCTTCTGTTAATGATTTCACAACTTACCTTGACACTGCTAGAGTCAGAAGCTCCTGCAAGGAATTTCCTTTTGCTCTACTTAGCTAAGCCCTGCCATCCAGACTAGAGCAACTTATTATCACATTGCTTTTTGCCTTTTTTATATTGCCTGTGCACCTGGTCCTTTCTGTGTGTTTATCTTCTTTAATCACACAAGTAAGCTAAATGTACCTTTGTATAGAGATTTAAAAGATTAAGGCCTCAATCTAATATTTTGGATAAGCTATTTATTTATTTTTTAATATAAAAAAATATATCATATGTAAAAATATACCAAGATATTAAAACATATCAAAATATTAAATCATTTTAAATGTATCCAGAAATATGAAATCATATGAAAAGCTTATCTAAAAATATTAAATCAAGGCCCAAGTATAAAATATAGGTTTTTTGCTTTTGGTTTTTCCAGTGGAGATTTGTTTTTTCCTTGTGCACGGTTTATAAGATTGCAGGTTTGGGGGAGGTTGTTTATTAGTCAACAGGACAATAAGCTTATATGATAATAACTTGTCTTTCTACACGCCCTACACTACACTGATGAATTTGGCCCCTCCAGATTGTGTGTCACTGGGAGATAATTTCCTTGTATGGCATGAGCCTTCTCCTTCTGCTCTTGATGAAGAAAAGAATGAGAAAGAGAGTTTCATATAATCCCTTCTGTACAATAGAAGGGGTTACAGACTGGGTCCATTGTAATGCAAAACAGATGCATTTTGCATTAATTTTTGTTGGAATATATATGGATAGTCACCTTATATCTGGTTTCTGAATATACATTGAAATAATGTGCTTTGTGATATGTGTTCGCCATGCCACGGACATCCACCTGGTATTAAATCCCATTTTTTAATGTCTCTGTCTGCGACACATGATACATATACGATGTTCACAAGAACAGATAATTATGCAAAACTTAAACGTCTTTTAACGTCATGCTGATCTGGTTTACAAAATACCTCTGTAACACAAGCAGTTTAAAAATAATTTGCTCTGTAATAGCCATAAATTAATAATGAAAACACCTAAGAACAATTAAACTTGACATGTAGATTATTGAAGCTGTCGTATTGTTCAGTTATACATATATATATATATATATAAAGAGAGAGCAAGTTGGAATAGCTATGAGCTATAGTCCTTAATCAGGACAACTATTTGACAAGAACTCTGACAAAGGTAACTAAATTCTGGCCCTTAAAATAACGCATATAAAATATTAAGGTTCCATCCACTGATTACTTTAACTTGTAGGTAGGTATGATATTCCTATACAGATGTCTTCCAGTTTTAGACTCCTATTTCACAATGTTTAATCATTCCCATCCTGCATTATTATTAATTGTATATTAAAATATGTTATGTTATCCATATAGACACTAGACTTTTTCCATTTTATGTTTTACTTTTTTTCCCCCCTTTCCCTCGTGGTTTACACTAAATTATCTCTCAGGCACAAGGGAGGGATTGACCTATTTTGTATGGTAGTGTCCTGGACCTGAGAGCCAATGTAAGTGTGTGTATGTTTTTACTGTAGTCTACTCTCTGGTCCAGGGGAGAGTGCCCCTTGCATGGGGACCTGAATATAAGGCCAGTTGTGGCTGCCAATAAATGAGTTCCTGCTTACCCTCAACATAAAGTCTCATCTCATGTGTGGGGGAAACAGCTGTATCTACTCTGGGGGTGGCTATATCACTTTCCTGGGATTATAATCACTTGATCTTTTAAGAGCATATTGTTACACTCTCTTGGAGGAGACGTCTAACTACTGGAAGCTGCATCCTGGTCTTGGACCCAGGGAGGGTGGAGGACAGCAAGCTGTAACACTGGAAGTGGGGACTACAGTGCTGATGGTATCTGGTGCGGTGCTTGTGGTAGAAGAGAGTCTTAAAAGATTTTTTGTATGTTTTAAGCCTATTGATATAGAAGATATTGGGTCCCAAATGTCACATAAAAAAACCTGACATTGGAGGTCCAGTTGTGGGAGAAGCTGTTATAAAGTAACCAGAAACACTGCTAACATTTTACTGTTATGTCTAATCTCACATACCTGCCTAAGCTTTTTGATATTACTTCCAATGACTCATACCTTTAAGAGTTTCAGATTAATTTTGATAAGTCAGAGGTCTTGACTTTGCGACTAGTTCGATTCGTAATTATGATATCTGAACAAAGTTTTAATTGACATAACTTCCATATTAATTATTGATTACTATACTTGCACTGTTCACAAATATTCAAAGTTTATAGCTATGATTTGATTATATGGAATAATAATATAATATTTTCCGATTGGCTTATTGCACCTAGAGGGAAGACGACTAGGGTCTATAGCAGGGGTAACAAAAACAGAGAATATAAGAACTTTGAAAACGGACAAAAGCTTAGAGGAATTTAGTAGCTTGTAATTTGGTAAATCCTCGCTAAGGTCTCAAACTTTTACTGTTTTTATTTTAGTTTTAGTTTAATTTAGATGTTGTGGACTACAGCTCCCTGTAGATGCTTTGCTTGCATTATGGCTGTAAGAGTATTTTGGGAGATGTACTCAAAGGTTGTTTAAAAGAATAAAAACTACCACAACAAGAGGACATAGTCTTAAATTAGAGGGGCAAAGGTTTAAAAATAATATCAGGAAGTATTACTTTACTGAGAGGGTAGTGGATGTATGGAATAGCCTTCCAGCTGAAGTGGTAGAGGTTAACACAGTGAAAGGAGTTTAAGCATGCATGGGATAGGCATAAGGCTATCCTAGACTATAAGATAAGGCCAGGGACTAATGAAAGTATTTAGAAATTTGGGCAGACTAGATGGGCCGAATGGTTCTTATCTGCCGTCACATTCTATGTTTCTACCTTTGATTTATAAAAATATCTTGCATTTTTCTCTTCATTTAACAATTGCATTCTCAAAGAATTTACAAAAATATGGGTAGAAATGGTAATCTTGTTACATTTTACAAACAGGTATCTAACTATCAACATTAATCTATTAAGGGTCTTGGCTCTGCTATAATTTTGATATAACAATACATCACCACTTTCCTACAAAATTAAAGGAACACTACAAGTTCCATAATCAGTACAGTCCACTGTAGTGCTTAGGGTGCCATGAGTGCCCTATTGCCCCCCAAATGTCTGTATTCAAATAATTTTCTAATGGTTTTATAACTTAACTGTGGCCCACCAGGTGTCAGCCCTTAGCTTTAATGAGAGCCAGAAGCTTGATCTTGCATTGATTTTGCTAATCCTGGCAGTAAAGGGTTTAGCCAGCTGGCTGAGAGCAATCATCTGATGATCCCTGCCAATGAGCTGGCCCTTCACTTCATGGCTTAGCTCAGTAGAGCTAATAGCAGCTCGTAGGAGAAGCTTCCAACTCTCAATGAAGTAAGTGACAATAGCCCAAAATAATGTTTCCTTTAGGCAATTTAAAGATAACCGGTAACGTTATTTGTTATTCTTCAACTTTTCTTCCTATAGCTCTTAAACGTTTGTCTTTTACAATACAAAGAGTTATCATATCTCACCTTTCCAGATATTACTGGATTAAACTGTCCTTTCTCTAACCCCACAGATACATATGTGTTGCATACAGGCGATAATATTAAAAAATCCTGTTTAGTGACAGTTACCCTTTAATAGGCCTGCCATAACCACCATTTTGATTTCCCTTTCACCTATTCTCCTATCATACATTTCCCAGGTTTTTTTTGTTTTCTTTTACTTTTTAAATAAGTATTACATTACAAATACCAACAATTTTTTAATTACAAGAGTCATATCTAGGCAGCTTTGTAATTAGAATTAGAATTTGCTGTGTTTTTTCTTTTTTTAAATCTCAGCAGATTTGGTTTTCATTATATAAAGTATTTGTATCCTAGACTGCTGTTTAATGTGTTCTTAAGGAGACACTCATAGCACCATAAATATTATTTATTATAAAGATGTCATTGCATGGATTCTGTCCAGTTTCTGTCAAGCTCTCCTCAAGAACAATCGCAACCCTGCTCCCCTCAAAATTGAGCATTATTGATAAGCCATGAACTGGTGACTAAGTGTTAGGGTTTGGAGATGGGGTTTTCATGTGAAGAATCTAGCACACCCATGGGAGACACCATTAACTAGAGGAACTAATAGAAAACAGGGTCATCCCATAGCCCATAGCAGAGTGGCAGTATAGGGGCTTAGCTTTATTAGAATGGGATGAGGCAAAGGTGCAGTCTTTCTTTGGACTTCTGTTGGTCCAGACGGCACAAGATCAAAGTAGGGGTAACAAACCAAGTTTTAATATATGAAATATAATTTAATATGAATAAGATATAATTTTAAAAAGTGTGAGAAATTAAGAAATGTTTTTATTTTCCAAGTTCTACATGGCATTTTATCTGATGAATGTCCGCTTTTACTGCACTAAAACACACGGATGTGTATCCTGTAATGTCCCACATGGCAATACCTGGAAATTTGACAAAGTGTTTTTCTGGGCCAATGTCACTTTTGAGACTGTGTGGGTAATAATATTTCCACCATTATGGCATACCATTTTCAAAAGTAGACAAACCAGAGTATTTCAAGTGGTGTATTTTGAGTTGTTTGTTCTAGCTATTTTATCACAAATGCTGGCCACATTTAGTGGTTATATTTTCTTTTGTGTTTTTCACATAAATTCCATTTTCTCAGTAAATTTCATAGGTTTGCCATATTAGTGCAATAAAGCCTCAATATTGTTATGTAACAATTTATGTAACATTGCCTGACAAATATAACAGTGCCCCCATGTATATTTTTTTTTAGGTTTTGTTGGTAAGTCACAGGGCGAAATATATAAGATGCCCTTTTCAACTTGTAGAAATTGAATAAGTGATGTCGCCGTTGAGAGAAAATGGCACCTTAAGAAAAAAAAATTATCCCCATGATTACATACCATTTTAATAAGCATGCTAAATGTAGAATGTTGAGTCGTTTGGTGTAGCCACTTTATAATGGTTTGGATTAATGTAAACAGGGACAAGCCAAGGTCAGGGGTATCCAGAAGTCAGAGTAGTCATTACAAGTACCGGTACAGGCAGCAAACAAAGATAAATCAAGACAAGTCAGGAATCCAGAATAATCAAACAAACGAACGAAGTCCCATGCAGAGCTATTCAATAGTCCAGCTCTGCATGGTAGATGCTGAAAGTATGTTATGCAGAGGGCAGGTAGAGTTAATTAGGAAGGGCTGTAATAACTAGAGTCCTTTAAAACTCTTTTATTGTAGCTAATGCAACACTTTCTCTGTGGTGACTTTTTATAGGTTGGGGGATTTGGAAATGAAAGATCTTGCCCCAAAGTCTCTGTACATATTCTGATTCAAAAAAGGGAGGATTGGGGGACTGGGTAAAAAATATCAGAAAAAAATGTTAATTTAGAAATTGTTATGGCTTCTCTATGGCTGTTTTTTTTTTATACGGCACATAGGAATTAAAAAATGCAACCTGGGGGTGGGGCCGGACGGCCATGCCAACAGGCTGCAAATCACTTGGGCTCCCGAGGAAAAACCAAAAACTAGGGTATATACCCACCCTACCCGACTTGTAACAACCCGGGGGTCCATGGCATGAAGCTGGAGCGCCTGACGATGGGTGGCTCTAGGTCCTGGTGAGAAACTCTGGGGCTCGGGGATGAAGGCCTACCCGGGAGGGGAGTGGGGCGGACGGCCGCTGCCTCACTCTCCGTCCCGACTACAGCAATCTATTATCTGACTGGCGCCTTCCTGGTCCCGTTCCCACCCCCCACCCACCCCCGTGGGCCCGGGGGGTCATCCCGGTCCCCACCAGGCAGGCTACCGCCTTGCACATGTTACCTGGGCGGCCCGAAGCCGTAGGAGAAAGACTCCCACGCGGTCTCACCAAAATGGCCGACGGCCACACTGCAACACTGCCAGCCAAGACAGGCCGATATGGTAATGCGGCACTACACAGCCCGAGCTACCACCATGGGAGGTCCACGGGGCACATGCTCGATGACAGGCGGAAACCACTACAGCCTACATCTACTTCACCTGCCCATGTCAAAGCGGCAACCTCCGACAAGACACGCTGGGATACCTCCGACCGAGCACGCCTCACCATTGATTGGTGCTGGAAGGCCAAATGGGGACAGCATCCTCATCCACCGACCACACAGGTCTACAACCCAGGTCTGAAAACCAAGGTCTGCGAAGCTAAACTCACACAGCAACCGGTAAGCTATGACAGGAGCTCAGGTAACCTGCAGGGACTCTCCCCACGCCTAGGCACAGACTGTATTCCCATGGCCTCTTACTTTGCGCACGGTTGGAGCTGGCGGTTACCCCAGCCATTCACACTAAGGAGCACTCCATATAACATATCACGTATAGCCACACCAGATAACATTGTAACTGCAATTATTGATTAATATGCATACCCTCTGTTTAGTATCTTTCAGACAGACAATTTTTTGTTTAAGCTTTATACCTGGTGCTCAGCCTGGTTGCACACTGCTTTAATGATTACTTTAATGGCTTTAAAATATATGTATTGTACTACCAGCAAACTACTAGACCTGCTTAGCCAAGAAAGGACCAAACACTGCTTAATTACTAATCGTATTGTCTAAACATGATTAACTTCTACATAACTAGAAAAAAATGTGCATAAACTCTTGAATACTTCATTGTTAAAACTGTTGAAAATCAGCGTGGGGAATGCCGTTAGGGTACCACACGCATGCTGTTATATATCTCTTTGCACTGCAAAAAAAAAATGCAACCTGGCTTCCATAGGTGCCAATTTTTGTACCAGTAACTAGTTTTTCAGTTTACCAGATAAGGATGTATACATTGATCAGCCAAATGTACTCCCCCCATATACTTGCTGAAGTCTACAATGTACTTTAGGTTTTAAAACTGCTCAGGTGTTCCTTTGATAAGCACTGGCACTGCACTTTCGTAGTGCTTTGTAGACAGTATGTACACATCTTTCTTATCTGTGTACCAAAGGGCTATCCTCATCCTGGCGTAGACCTGATGTCGAGCCTCTAGTGCAGGGGTAGGACACCTATGGCACGTGTACCATGCACGGCACTCGAGGTGTCTTTGCACGGCACTCAAGGCTGCTAGAGCCAACTACAGATATCTGCTAATAAGAAAAGGTGGTGAAGGACAATCCTCAATTTATGCATTGCAGCACATCTCAGATCACTTCCTCCCAGTACCTGTGAATGGGAATCCACACTGTAGTAGAGCAGCCCGCAGTTGCTATTGCAGCTCCTGTCCTTGAGCTGTACCTGGACAAACCTGGTCCCCTTGGAACCTAGGGAAGCCACCCACACTGTTAGATATACACAGAATAACCCTCTCCTCATACAAATAATATGAACAGCCCACATACAAACATACACACAATCCGCACAAACGCAAAACCACTAACAATCCACATAGATGCACACAACTCCACATGCAGCCTCTCACATGCAATACTCCAAACAGCCCAACACATACACACACACTACCAAATACACAATGTGCCATATCCATCTACACACACAATGAAACTACTCATGAACATTTACAACATAATAGCTCATATACGCACAACTACAACAATACAAAGCAACTGCAGTATAAATAACCCAGGCAGAATACGTCAGCATGCACACCTCAATTTAAAAAAATAGGACCGGCATGCTACAGGACATCACAATCTTATTTCGGCACTGTGCTGCTAAAAGGTTGCTTACCCCTGCTCTAGTGTTTCTGCCACATGTCAGGGTTTGGGGGAAACCTCTGCTTGTTTTAGGCACTGTGCCACATGCTAGAGTTTCGAAACAAAATGCATTTTTAAATATATACATACTGGTATAATAATTATCAACCCATAGATTATAACTTTTATTGAACGAGAGAAGGAGCAGATTCCACACATCTTGCCATTTGTACCCACAGAATAAGGGCACCCTGGGTCTAGGTCTCTATCCTTTCCTTAATTTATACAAAAATGTCCATGTGTAGCCAGTAGTGGATTTGCATAATTTGTAGAATTTAATGCCATTTTGTGACCGCTTTGATGGGACATGTTGTTTAAAAAGCAATTTACCTTTGAATTTCATTAGAGATTTGTCAATACAAATGTTTTGGTCTGGTATATAATTTTGGGAAAATACCTCAGGAATTGGATAAAGGGCAAAATGTTGAAGAGCCTGTCAAACAATGAGTAAATCTAAGAGGGACAATGGAGGAATTGCAGCATTTTCTCATCCCTCTTCATAACTACTGGGAAAAGAGGTGCAGCCAGGATGTGATGCTTATGCCAGTAGGACGTAAGACTTGGCACTTTAACACTCCCCATTACAGCATAAAATAGTTTACTGGTTCACAAATACCATATTCGTAAAGGGGTGGGGAAGACAATAATTAACATGAAATAGCTCTCCTGTCTGCAGAACCCATACTATGCAAATGTAACTGACTATGTAAATAAGCAACCCTTGCTATTCAGGTTTTTCATTTAGGTGTTGCTACCAACAGATGGCTCTATACAGGCTCCATAGCCAAATCAACCTAGTTGGTAGAAAGCATCAGCAGGACAGGAGAGCACACAAAACATTCAACAATAAACAGTCATAGACACCCTGCACCAATACAGGACACAGGGTGACTTAAACATATGAAGCCCACGGAGCAACGCAGGGGGGGAGTGGGCCTTGACAGGGCCAGAAAGTTGGCAGGTGAATTGTAGGTCAAGGGGTGTGGTTTAAGTTAATACGTGGTGAGGAGTGCTAGCCTGTTAAATAGCAGCCATCTTAAGTTTAAGCCATTTTAATTTGAGCTGCCCTTGCCTGTGAGTTCTTGCAGGTCAGCGTGGCTCTTTCTCTCTTCTCTTTTGCAGGTCATGGCTTCCCTTGAAGAAATTATGGCGGGCGTCCGGTCAGTGGTACAGGAGAAAGGTCTGGCGTGGTTGCAGGAGCAGCTGGGGGTTCCGAGCACGTCTGCTCCCCCCCCTTGTGGCAGCGGTGAGGAGGCCGGTGAGGAGAGCGAGGCCGCCCCAGCGGCTCAGCCCGGGTGCGGCGCTGGCGGCGCGGAGGAGGAGGAGCCCATCTGGAGCGAGGGGAGAAGTGGCTGGCGGGTCTGGAAGCTGGAGAGGATCAGAGGGGCGACCGGCGCCGCCTGTCCGACGGTCAGGTGAGACTGCGGGCCGGGAAGAGGCCTCCTGCATTGAGTAACCCCTGTCGCCGGGCGGGGGGCAGGATGGCCCAGACGGAGACAGGGCCACACAGGCGGGAACCAGCACAGAAGACCGGAGGGAGAGCAGTGCACCCTTCACAGCGTCCCGGTGAGTCGCCCCCTGGGGGCAACACTGAGGGGCAGGTGGGAGGCAAAAGTACAGGCAGCACCAGACTAGCGGACCCTCAAGGTGGGGCTGGGGACCAGGTAAGCAGCGTGCAGGACAAGGCAGCCCTTACAGGGGCTAGGAAAGGGAGGAGGATGCAGGAGAGGATGGGAGTCATAGGAGTGGGAGTCTGCCCGGGCCCGGTGGAAGGACAGGCGCGCAGAGGGTCGACCAGGAGCGGAGTGGTGGACGGGGCACAGGAGAGTTGGTGAGCGAGAAGGCTGCGGCGCAGGCAAGACAGAGCCAGGGGAGAGGCCATGCGGACGGGGGTTCCCAGGTGGGAAACACACGGGAGGCCTTAAGGGGTTGTTCCCAGGAGCAGCGGAATAGGAGGAGTCACAGTAGGAGGGACGGCGGAGATACACCGGGCAGCGAGAGGGATGGACATGGCAGCTTGGGAGGATCCTCAGAGAGATGCAGGAACAGGGATAGGAGCACTCCACGGAGCCGGGACGTTGGGAGGAGGTCCGCCTCCAGGTACAGGAGGAGGAGGTATCGGCGCAGCGAGTCAGGGTCGGATGGCAGGGAGGACACGAGGCGGAGTGGGACCAGGAGCGACCGAGGAATATGCCTTTTGCATATTAGCTAGTGTGATCGGGGAAAAGCTTTTTTGCTATTTGGACGGTATAGGGGATGCCTACAGGACCTACGGGGGACTTGCATGGTGGAGATACGACGAACAGTTTCGTCAGCGTCTGGCAGCAAATCCGGCTATGCGGTGGGACCAGATGGACCTGCCATTATGGATGAGGCTAATGATGGCGCAGAAAAGTGCCCCCTCTCTTGGGGCAGCCGGTGCGGGCCTGAGTGGGAGCGCGTCAGCAGGACCGAAGAAGGGGTTTTGCTGGCTCCTCAACGAAGGGCAGTGCAAGTGGGGAGCATCATGCAGATTCAAGCACGAGTGCTCCGGTTGTGGCGGTAACCATGGAATCTCCAGATGCTTCAAGAAAGATAAAACTAACATGGGGGGGGGAAACACTGGGACAGCGTCCGCCGCTTCTGTGGCGGGGGGCATCCCCAGTGAAAATAGACGCGATGTTGCCTTGGCTAAGGCAATACGCTAATCAGGAAGTGGCTAGATTCTTGTGGAAGGGGTTCACGGACGGTTTCGTGATCCCTTTCCAGGATAGGGGTCCGGGTATAGTGTGTGGGAATCTTAAGTCGGTGCTGGAGCATCCCGGGGTGGTTAGGGAGAAGTTGTGGAAAGAGGTGCGATTGGGAAGAATGGCGGGCCCGTTTGCGGCTTCGCCAATGTCAGAGTTGAGGGTGTCTCCACTGGGGGTGGTCCCCAAGAAGGAAACGGGCAAATTCCGCCTGATACATCACTTATTGTACCCGGCGGGGGCATCGGTGAATGATGACATCGACGCGGCACTGTGCTCTGTTTCCTATACATCATTCGACAATGCTGTTGAGTTGGTTCGGAGAGCGGGGCACGGGGCGCTAATGGCAAAGGTAGATGTGGAAGCAGCATTTAGGCTGCTTCCCATACACCCAGAATGTCATCACCTCTTAGGATGTTACTTCGAAGGGGAGTTTTATGTGGAACTATGTCTGCCTAGGGGTTGCGCTATCTCTTGCGCATATTTCGAGAGGTTTAGTACCTTCATAGAGTGGGTAGTACGGAAGGAGTCGGCGGGGGGTGCGGTGGTACACTACCTTGATGACTTCCTGTGCGTCGGCCCGCCAGGAACAGGGCGTTGCGGCCAGATACTGAAGGTCTTTGAGTGGGTGGCACATAAGTTCGGGGTACCGCTGGCAGCGGACAAAACGGTGGGGCCCGCCACGTGCCTCAGTTTTTTAGGCTTAGAAATCGACTCGGTGCGTGGTGAATGCAGGTTGCCTTTGGACAAACTGCACGCCTTACGACAATTGGTGGACATGGTCGTGAAAGCGAAGAAAGTAACCTTGCGGGAACTTCAGTCGTTGTCGGGTGATTCCCATGGGGAGAGTTTTCTGCCGGCTGCTAGCTCGCGCAACGAGCAGGTTGAAACAGCCATCGCATTATATCAGAGTGTCGGCAGAAATGAAAGCGGATTTAAGGGTATGGGCACGTTTTCTGCAGGATTTTAATGGTAGGGTGTTTTTTAGGGAGCCAGTGGGGTCATCTGAGGACGTGATGTTGTTCATGGACTCTTCGGGTAGCCGCTTTTTGGCGGCACAATGGTGCGCGGAGGAGTGGCCGGTGGCCTGGAAAGCTAGCCCGCTGATTAGGAACTTGGTGTTTTTAGAATTCTTTCCGGTAGTGGTGGCGGTGGCATTGTGTGGGTCGGAACTTCACTGAGCACGCATCACCATCGATGGTAGATAAGCATCTCGCAGCACTGGCGTTCCTCTTCAAGTTCAACGGCTGGGTAGACGTTACAAAACATTTCATGGTGAGACAAGCAGTGCGGGGTTTTAGGAAAGGTAAGAAGGCTCGAGACTCGAGGAGACCAGTTTTGTTTAAGGTACTGCAAGGTTTGGTGGAGAAATTACCAGGTATACGTTTTTCCGTATTCGAGGTGGCATTGTTCACAACGGCGTTTGTGTGGGCCTTTTTTGGGGCGTTTCGAATAGGGGAATTGGTTAGCTCCAACAAAGCGGGCGTTGGGGGACTGAGATTCAAAGACGTAGCGGTTAGTATGAACAGGGTACGGATACAGCTGGCCCGTTCAACGACGGATGTCTTTGGGAAGGGTTGTACGGTTAATCTGTTCGAATTGCCAGGGTCTGGGTTGTGCCCAGTGGCTTGTGGGGCCAGGTTTTTGGAGCTACGACCGGAGGTCGAAGGATGTTTCTTTATTCATTGTCAGGGGTATTTTGGGGGACGGAGCAAAACAAAGTTATTACTGTTGACAATGACCCTAAATTGTTAATTTAAATATTTGAATAATTAATAAAGCTGTGGACGTTATACTCCAACAGAATAAACGGTGTCCGTGTATTATTTAAGTGTAGTTTGCACATGCCGAATAACGTCTGTGCATATGTCATGAAGCCCAACGCGGGGGGGAGTGGGCCTTGACAGGGCCAGAAAGTTGGCAGGTGAATTGTAGGTCAAGGGGTGTGGTTTAAGTTAATAAGTGGGAAGGAGTGCTAGCCTGTTAAATAGCAGCCATCTTAAGTTTAAGCCATTTTAATTTGAGCTGCCCTTACCTGTGAGTTGTCCCTCCCACCCTCCCTTTATATATATAATTTGGTTGTGTTCCCGTTTGGTCACAGCGGCGGGGGAAAAGGGCTTGGTTGAACAGGAATTTTGTGGGTTAGGAAAGTGTTAGGCCAAGGAGCACAGACACACATACACTTACAGACACACACACTCACAGACAAACACACTCACACATACACTTACAGACACACACACTCACAGACAAACACACTCACGCATACACTTACAGACACACACACACAGAGAAACACATACACACAGACAAACATACACACACTCACGCATACACTTACAGACACACACACATATACTTACAGACACACACACATACACACTCACAAACACACTTACAGACACACAAATTATTAATATTAAGTGTCCACCCAGCCTCCCTACCTGGAGAGCTGGTATGGATCTGTCCCGCGGGCTGTCTACTGATGCCAGGAGCCGGAATATGACATCATATTCCTGCTCCTGCGGCATCAGCAAACATCGCGTGAGGGAGCAGAGTGATTAGAGCTCCCTCGCCGCCTCGCATTAGAACTCTGCCACGCTGGGGGGTCCTGAAGCTGGCCTTGCAGGAGGGAGCGCTTCCCTCCTACCGGTCACTGAAATCTTGTGCCCCCAAGCCGCTCGCGCCCGCCCACCCTAAAAAGGAGAAATCCTCTCAAAAAGAGGATTTAGCCGCCGAAATCCCTACCGCCCACCTGGAATCCTGAAACGCTCACTAGTGGGCTGTAGGGACCAGGTTGACGATCCATGGTTTATACTAAGAAAAAAACCTGCATTTGTATTGCCGGTATTACTGCAATACCTGCACAGCCAAGCAGCCTCAAATACCGACTGTGCCAGTAAAATACCAGTCAGGTGGCAAACTTAAGAGTAGTGTGTAAAAAAAAAAAGCTCCATCAGCCCCTATGTTAATCCGGCCCTGTGTTAATTAGTTCGGACAATGTACGAGTTGTTTTTTTCTAAAGTTAAACCTCAGTAGTTGGCACTTTAAGGAAAAAAAAGTTGGCATGTATTGCAATTTGGGCACTCGGGCTCAAAAAGGTTCACAATCACTGACCTAGAGGGTTTACGGAGTCATGAATATTTTTATATTTATTGATAGGAACAGAAAAAGAGAGTCAGATCACAGATTAAAAATATTGTATATTTAGTATAAATGTGTACAGTGAATGAGCATGCTATTTAGTAAAGCTGGGGTTCCCTACCATCTGGTTGGTATTTTGCATGGCATGTAGCTGCTTGTGCCTTGCTAAGCAGAGATCCTCTGTGCTAATTTAAAGATTTTATTCCAATTATTTTGCCTTGATGTTTATTTTCAAGTCTGACTTACAAGCATAGGCGTGCCCACGGGGTGTGCCGGGTGTGCTTAGGCACACCCTAATCCCCGCGGCCTGCACTATGTGCCTCCATGAGCTGGTGAGGGAGATCAAAGATCTCACTGACCCACAGGCAGGAAGGGAGGCAGGAGAGGACCCAGGGAGCTCTTGCCAGCAGCTCCGCCGGGTTCCTCTCGCGAGGTCGGAGCATTGCCGTGGCAATGCTCAGATCTCGCGAGAGTGAACTCTAGCCCCTAGTGGAGCTAGAGTTCACTCACCACTGGACCACCAGGGATGGCAGGTAAGAAGGGAGAGGGGAATATTAACTAAACGGCCTCCCACCCCCACACAATACACACAAACAGCACACACACACACACACACCCTTACACATCACACACACACACATACATCACCCTTACACACACACATACTAACAGCACCCTCACACTAACAGCACCCACACACACAAAGCACCCTTACACAGACACTAACAGCACCCTCACACACACACACACTAACAGCCACACAGACCACATAATCTCAACAAACATAGAATTTGAATAGTTTTCAATTATTTATTTTCCTGATTTATAATAGCATCCTATTAGAAATCCTTGTTTGATTCTATTACAAGTCCTACACTGATTAGTCCAATTTTCCGGGTTGAGCAGGTCCCTCAGCACCTTCTGTTCCTGTATGTCCAATTTGTCTTGTTACAAATACTTGTTTGTTAATATATCGCTGTGGATTTTGTTGCCTCTTAATAAATGATAATTACTACGCCTACTTGACAGGTTCGCTGGCATGCTAGATGCATGCAAGTTTAAATGGGACATGCTAGGAAGTAGAATAGTAGCGTTTCTTAAAGAAACAATGCCCAGAAGTAAGACATACTGCACAGTAAAGCAAAGGGATTCATTAGCTATTTAAACATTGATTTCATATAATAAAAAAAATTACAAAAACACATTTACAGAAGCTCATATAAGTATTGAAGCCATCATTTGTTGCAGTTTCTTTCTAGTCAATTGCCTTGACTTTATTCATTGTTTATTATTTTGATTGATTTAGAACAAGGGTAGGCAACCTATGGCACTAGTGCCATGCACGGCACTCAAGGTGTCTTTGCACGGCAGTCAAGGCTGCTAGAGCCAAACAGGCTCTGGCCTATGAGGAGTCCAAGTGAAACTATAGATATCTGCTAATACGAAAAAGTAGAGAAGGACAATCCTCAATTTATGCATTGCAGCACATAGAGGAAGTGATTTCAGATCACTTAATTCCAGCACTTGTGAATGGGAATCTACACTGGAGTAAAGCAGTCCTCGGTAGCTATGCAACTCCTGCCCTTGATCTGTACCTGGCCAGCCTGGTCCACACTGGAACCCAGGGAAGCCACCCACACTGCTAGATATACACAGAGCTGCAGAATAACTCTCCCCTCATACAAATAATACGAACAGCCCACACACAAACATACATACAATCCGCACAAATGTAACCCGCTAACAATCCACATACATGCACACAACCCCACATGCAGCCTCTGACATGCAATACCCCAAACAGCCCCACAAATACACACACTTCCAAACACACAATGTGACATATCCATCCACACACAATTCCACAAGCAGCCCCCATACACAGCCCACATTCATATGTGTCATACAGATATCATAAACTACTAATGAACATATACAATATAATAGCTCATATACGCATAAATATAAAGAAACAAAGCAATTACAGTATAAATAACACAAGCAGAAAACGGCAGCATACAGACCTCAATTTAAAAAAAATAGGACGGGCACGCTATAGGACATCACAATCCTATATCAGCACAGTGCTGCTAAAAGGTTGCCTACCCCTGATTTAGAATATAAAAAAAGCCAATCAGCTTACTGCTGTGACTTCAGTTGCCTCTTACTTTCTGTCCCTCATTTTATCTGGACTTTTTACTGTTCCATAGCTTTTAAATATCCAATTTCTTTTTCATGTACTGTTTATGTTTAAGCTTTATTGCACATTGAAATCATTTACGTTACTCAATAAAAGGTGCAGTGGTCCTCTAGTTTTTCAGCAACTGCAATGTTTAAAGTGCAGGCTTAAATCCAAATCAAGAGACTGGCTTCCTGACAGCCACTATAGGTGCTTCTGCAGTACTGACCCGAGTAAAATGTTGTCACGTCATGCGGAAGCCTCTATAGGAAAGCAATGCTTCATTGCTTTCCTATGGGGATGCTTGGATGCGCATCAGGTCAGCAACAAGTTCACATTATATTAGTGGGAGTTCAGCAGGTCTCAAAACAACATTGCTGCTCGCCTAGCTAAAAAAAACATGCTAACTGGTGGCTTGTTGAAGAAAGATCTTTTAGTCTACATTGTCATTTGATGAACACAGCCAGCAAAATTGGTTATCGTCTGTGGGTTTTACAAGTTTAATCAAATTACTAACTCTGAATAGAGACGCAGATACATTTGTATGAAGTTATACACGTTTCTTTGAGATGGACAAAGACCTTAAACAAAACTGCTCTTATGGGCATGGTAATCTTTGCTTTAATTTAAAGCTAATTTAGCTCTTTACTCAGTTACACATTATATCCTCCTATCAGCACTTATAGATAGGAGATATAAAAAGTTTTCCAATTTCGTGAAATAATAAAATGAGGATGAGAAGCTATTCTAAATTCTTTTATGTGTAATGCGTAAGTCTAAAATCCAAATCACTTAACGGTAGCACTTGAAGATACTGGAATTAAATCCCATTTCTTTTAATGAATAAAAGCTCGAAACAATGTTTCATAGAACACATCTCTCTCAGCGGAGCGTGAAATTCTCGAAAGAATCTCATTGATATGGCAGTACGCTTGAACATACAGTTAAAGATCTGGACAGGCGCAGTCAGATTTATCAGCATATGCGCTAACCTTACCCTGAACCCATTAAGACACGGACACAGGTTATACTGTTGGGAAAAAAAATTGGTCCACAGCTTTATTAATTATTAATTCATTAAGGAATAACAAATAGGGTAATTTTATTAAAGCCAACATCCCCCATATATCTAACATACCCCTGGAAATGACCCCACAATAATAACAATAAATAACAATCTAGTTAACATAGTAACACAGAAACTGGCTGTCCAATATGACCACATTTCCACCAGATTAAATTGTAAGGGTGTACCAAGAAACCGCTACACCCACAAGTTCAATTGTAGGGGTGTACCAAGACACCGCTACACCCCCAGGTTCGGAGCCACTGACGGGCTCGTACCTACCAACCAAGTATAACACCTAATCCACATTTAACCTCCGGATGCACACTTCCTCCTCCATCTACCCCCTGATTTAACCTGGCCATTCCCCGCTACAGCTTAGGACTTGACACCTAAAGCTCCTGAGTGCCACCACACCTAAACAAGGCCTATTGAAGGCCCTTCTGAAGGCCCAAAATAAATAGGTCACACCCCACATCCAAAAGACATACACCATCCCTCCTGAACTACCCAGGAAGCATGCCTTCCAATTCCCCGTGCCTCACTGCCACTCCACCCATACACCTAATAAAGACAGTCATCATTTTATTGATTTGCCCCCGACACAGAGCGACAGCGAGCGGGTCCTTGGCATGTTGCCAGTGAAACCGAGGAACCATCTCGGACCACACCACCACCACACCTGGAGCCAGTCATAGACGGTCCACATCCCTCTTCATCCATCTGACCAATTCCTTTTTTGGGACCATGCCCAGATCATTACCTCCAGCATGGATTAACAGTACATCTGGAACGGTGCCCCTTGCCACCCTCTGGCAAATTTCACCACTAATGCCTTGCCAACCAAAAACCAAACCACTCCATTGTCACCAACTCCAGAGGAAAGCCCAGCGGCACTCCTTGTTTCCAAACTGCGGCTCCCTTCTGTACCCAGTAGATGTAAGAGTGGCCCAACAACCAGGCCACCCAACCTAAAATGAAAACAGAATCAGTGACAAGGCATAACACCAAACACCAACCCACTAATCCACGTCCATTTAATCAAGTGTTCGGCCGTGAGTAGTACTTAAACCATACCAACTCCTACCTATACGTTTCACCAGTTACTCACCTAGACCCAAGCGAGACGCCTCTGTCGCTGCCCCTATCTGAAAGGAATGGGTCCCAAACTGCATGGGATCCAAACCCACCTCTGTTAAGCCCAACCGAAAAAAATTAAAGAATTGGAACCGCGACAGAGTGGATACATCCCCATGTACCAAAAAACAACTCAGGACGTCCGGGCGAAACTCCACGTAGTGCGATGCACATGAAACCAGGCAGACTCCTGACCCAGGCAGGGAAAATAGTGTCACCAAACAACCTTTACCAAATACATCCGTCTCACCACCCTATCGGCCCGTAATTCGATGTCTGAGTGTTGAACCCCCCAACACCCGCCAGAGAGGTACTCAACAGTTCACCAATCCGAAGATGTGGATAAGCGGTTAACCGCATGAACCACCACAACGGCCCGACCTGGCAGTGCCCACACACAAAAAGTTATCAAGATGCACTAAAAAAAACCACTTGATTCCTCCTTCACCACACACTCTAAAAAGGAACTCAACTTTTTGAAGTAGGAACATGAAATGGAGCAAGCAAAGGTCCACAAAATAAGCCCCGTCGAACATGCAACCGCCTGGTCAAATGATGCGTAGGAGACATAACACAAGGCCGCATCATTGTCATCATTCACCGAAGAACCTTTCGGATATGACAAATGATGGATCAGACGGAACTTACCCAGTTCTTTCTTAGGCACCACGCCCAAAGGTGAAATCCGTAAGTCTGCCAACGGAGGTTGTGAGAACGGCCTCGCCATCCTACCCAGCTGAACCTCTTTAGCCAATTTCTCTCTAAGCACTTCCGATGCTCCGCGACTGACTTCAAGTCATCACACAAACGACCCAAAACCTTTTGCAAACTTGTCCAACAATAACTGTGCATCATCCTGGTTACTGTAACGGCTTACCAAGGTTGCCCCCAGTGGAAGTGGACGGCACCACCGCATCCCCGGCTCCACCGGCACATGCAGACTTTCCCTGCTTGAAGCACCTGTTGAGGCCGTGGGCCCCTCCCGCAGCCCGAACATTCGTGCTTAAACTTACATGAGGAACCCCAGTTGCATTGTCTTTCATTAAATGTCCAACAGAACCCTTTCTTTTGACTGGCCGACAAAGAGGAGGTTGATCCCACGCCGGCCCCACCCTGAAAGGGCACAGCTTTCTGAGCCATCATCAGTTTTATCCATAGGGGTAGGTCCATCTCGTCCCACCGCATCCCGGAAATAGCCAACAACCTTTGGCGGAATTGCTCATCATACTTCCACCATGCTAAACCCCCATAAGTACAATAAGCCTCCCATCCAAATAGCAGAACTGAGAACACCACTCAGGAAATTTCTCCCCCAAAACACTAGCTAAAATGCAGAATGCCCAATGCCAAATCCCAAAAGACATGGGAATCTTCCGATACCACGGTCTCTTTTCCTCCTCCTCTTCCTTGGCATCCTTCTTATCTTCCTGCTTCAGATCAAGATATTCATCCAAAGGAAGGAGTGAGAAGATCGAGGAATTCACCCCGCCAAATCTTTTCCTTGACTTACGATTTTAGATGACAACCCAAAGGCCTAGCAAATGACATGTGCACATTCTGCCTGGCTACCTCAGGGATCTCACCCATCAACTCTGAGCGCTCGATGGCAACCAACGACGTCCCCGGCCCGAATGAAGTCACCGTAGTCCCGCCCTGAACACTGCCCGCCACAGCTGCTGGAACCGTCGTAGCCACCCCACTGCCGCCTGTCGGTGGACCCCACACCTGACTAAAATGCTCCTCCTGTGTATCCTTGACAGCCCAAGTGTTGAGAAAGGACCTCAAGCTATCCAAGAGATTCCCAGAATGTAGTGCAGAAGAAGACTCACCACCAGAACCCCCTGCCGTAAAAGATTGCGGGGCTGTTGCCTTTTCATCCAACTCGAGAGGTTCAGGAGTAGCGTCATAGCTTCTGCATCGAGCTGCCTGATCCTGCCTCAGAACCGTATGAGAAGGAGTTGCTGACCTGCAGGAAGAAGACAACCTGGGTAGTCTGCTCATATGAGCCCCAACCCGTCCATCCTTCCCACATTCCTGACCACATTCCCTGTTCTCACAACATCTGGCTGCCTTCTGATAACTCCTGCTAGGCGACCTGTAAGCCCTGCACCGGCTCTTCGCCCTCTCCTCTGATTAAGTTGATCACCCCCTGCTGTAATGCCTGACAGAAGGGCTCCTCTCTCTGCTGCGCCAACCTGCTGCGGACCGTCTATCCTCGCCGCACCTGGTTCTATCCTTGGAACGAACCTGAGCAGTAGCCTGGCCTGGGACACCTGGTGACCCGCTATCCTTCATCCTAGAGTGTCGCTCCCTGCACTCTCGGACAGCATGACTCCTCCAATCTGGCCTATCCATCTGCCTGGCTCCAAGTAGCCGTGTGCACTCTCTCACGCCTAACCACACGTGGGCCGTGCTGCGCCCCCGCAGACCCCGTTTGGGCCGCATCCCCACTATCAGGGCTCCTACCTTGCCTTGTAGGCCTGCCTGACACCTCCTTGGCCGTAGTACTGCTATGTCCCATCCCTGCCTGGTTGACTGAACCAGCCGCCGCCCGCGCTGACTTAGTCCCAACTGGGATATTGGCCTCCACCGCAGCTGACCTGGCCCCTGCCAGGGCTGTACCAGACTCCTTCCTGCTGCCTGAACCCCCTACGGCCCGTTCCACTCCGTGCCCCTGGGCACCCACGTCCTGCCCCACACTCCCCAAGGATACAAGGCCCTGGGAGATGCAGACGTGCAGCCTCCCGTCACCGACCCGCTCCAGCAACACCGCCTGGCATAGACCGCCTGCCAGGGGCCTCTGCAGCCGACACCTCAGGCCCAGCTCTTTTCCCGCCAACCGACACTTTCACCACGCAGCCTGCTCCGGACCCGTCTGCCACGGGAGCAGCTCCCGTAGATGGGCTCTGTAAAGGATCGCCTGGCACCCCAACTGGGTACCTCCGTTGAAGGATGCTCCTAACGCTTCCTGAGGACTCCAAGCACTTCTCCAGACTGAACCTCTCTTCCTTCAGAGAGCAAAGCAGGAACAAGCTCTTAAAAGAGCTTAGTGATTATAGCCAAGGGAGTATACAGTGTATAGCAATCCCCAGTGTAGATGCAGCCTTTTCCCACACACATGAGACGAGGCTCTATGTTGAGGGTAAAACAGAAACTCAGCAGTCTGAGGGTTTATTGGCACTTATATGCAACTTTTTCCACAAGGTTACCACCCACATGGTATTGTGGAACAACCAATCAAATACATACAATACAGTTAAACACTTCCATTCATTCCAACAAAATCCTCCCCTCTGCCTGTGATAGAATTACTTTACACAATGGGCTAATGTAATTATCACAGGCAGGAAAATACACGTTTTACACAATATTCATAACTTCTAAACCATACATGCAATTCACATAAAAGTCACATATTCTGAACCAGCATAAGCAGTATACAAACATATGTCAAAAGTTAGATGATAGTCCTATTTGACCGACTGCAAGCATGGCCTTAATGCCCAAAACAGTTCCACAGATTTAGGCTCCTCTATCCTGGAGATAAAAGTAACTGTAGTAAACACAATTATCTCCTGGTACAGAAAATATCACTAAGTTCTACTGCAACAAAACACATAAAAATACATAACTAACATTCTATAGAACTGAACCCCCACATTTGATCTGAGCGTTCAATATAGCCGAACAGCGCTCAGATCCCACAAACACAGTCAAATCGCCATGGGGTTAAAAAATAGCAAGGGCTCGTGAGAGATTGAGGAGGGACAAAGCAGCCAGTTTCAACTGGTCTGGCAGTGTCCCTGCTGGAGAATAATGGGACAGGAAACGGGGGAGGGGAAGAGGCACACCTTCCCATAGATTCAAAGGGGCAGAAAAAGTGTCCCAAAATCCAATAAACCCAAACAGAGTTTTTAAATGGCAATACTTCCCAGGGGCCATAGTCACAAGGCAAGAGGCTGGCAAGCAGGCCTCTCCAAGAACAAGTGGCTAAGGGCACTTCGTCACAGGCTCCTCCTCCTCCTTTGTGCCGGCACCAAACTGGGACTCAAACATTGGGGAGGCCATGTCCTCCGCGCGTGCCGTCGCTCCAGAACCACTGCCGGCCCACTAGAAGGTCATGGGGATGCCATCTGCTCTTGCAGCCAAGCGATGCCGCGCTTCCTCACCACCACACAAACACCTGCAAGGAATTCTTCAACAGGATCCATCTGAAAAAGAAAGAAAAAAACTACGCAAACCTGAGAGACAACTAACATGTAAGTTTAGGTTTAGTTAAGATGGCCACTTCACAAAATGGCTGGTATAAATACTCCATCGTAGCTCTGCCCCCCCAGTTTGCTAGCTGTCACTCAACTTCCCTTGGCTGTTATGCCTACCTCCTGGCTCTGTCAAGGCCCACTCCCCTAGCTGCACTGATCCATGGGCTGCATTTTCTCCACACTGTTTTTTTTTATCTGCATTTCATGCCTCTTCACAAAAAAAAAACAATTTTAAAATGCTTTTCATGCCATTTATGGAGCTTTTGTTTTAATGCAAAACTATAAAACAGTAATTAGAGACTTCATGGATGATTTTAGGAGTAACTGGGGTTTTAGTCTCTATATCCTTGAGGGCATGTGTATTTATCCCATGTGAATCTCTAAAATGTGATGTAAATACACCTGTTACACAGTTGCACACTGAGGCATATATCACGTCTATGTTAGGAGTGAATACAATTAACCTCACAGACCTTATTTCACAGTTCCAGAAACAAAATGGAAAATACATTTCGAAAGGATTCTTATGGAAGAATGAAGCCTCAGGGGACCACTCAATAAATGAAAACTAAAAGCTGATTTTCATCCAATCCATCTAACTAATAATGAAACATAGATTTGGGAAAGCCACGATTATTAAATGGCATTCTCTAGTGCTCTCCATCTAAGGATAAGATTTACATGTTACACAGTACATAAATGTTCCCTGCTGTCAGGCTGTGTATAAATAGTACTCCTGACAGGAGCATTCATATACTAAAGGGTAGGCACACCAGGAAATAATCACAGCTCTCCATTTGCGATCCCTGCTATGCACACAAATGCTGTATACTGCCAGCAGTGCATTTCATGTACAACCCCAAAACCTGAAGAAATGTGTTAAGCAAAGACAGAGAGCTCTTGCTATCCTATCTCTGTGGTTATGTGAATTCTTTTAAAATGCAAAAAAGGCTATTTACAGGAAATGGAACTGAGCAGAATAGACATACTGTTCCTTTTACGGTGATGAGGAATGCTTTTTCTCATCATGATAAAGTTTAAACATGGGTTCCAGATAGATAGACAGACAGACAGATACTAAATTTTAGTCTACTATGAAAATGTGCCTTTCACTTAGAACCTCCACTCAGATAGACTTACCTAAGTAACTGAATCAGATTAACTAACCTGCATCTAAGTAACAGGGTTGTTCACTAAAATCAGAATTGCAGGGAATTCAAAATGATTTCAAATTGAAGGTCAAAGTCTGCAGAATTTTTCCATTTCAGCTATTTTGGCCTTAAATTTTAAATTCACTTTGAATTCCCAGCAATTGCCACTTTAGTGAATGATTCTCTAAATCTACCTTCTGGTCTGTGTTTGGTGCCAAAGCGGAAGTTGAGCACAAATGTACCCACTATGATAAATGATATATTACACCTTCATTTACAGCAATTGTGGCATGTTTATTACATATTATCCACGCATGCTTCTGGTAGTAATAATAATGGACACTAGTTGAGTGGTGAACATAAATTTAATAATATTTACAGTGTTATTCACTAAAGCAAACAAGTGAATAGAATTTTAAATATAATGCCAAGGTATGTTTGACTCTACATTATCAATGGATGTTGACAATGTGTTCTGTCTTGTAACTCACATAAACTAATGAGCAAAGTCTGACTAATGCTAAAATTGTTCAAGCCAGTATCAAGGAAATAAATAGCTTGTGGACTTTCGTATCGGCCTATAAAGCAGTATGTTGAGGTCAGACAAGTCTCAGAAGAGACCTAATCAATTATTTTCTGCATTGGCCCTGAAATTCTATAGCAAGAAGAAAATCCACATTATCTCCTTTAGATTGCAAACACATGGACCTGCTCAATAAACACTTTGTATAAATGCTAGATGTTAGTGTACACATCCTAGATTAGCCAGGTGGGATTATCTGTTTCGTTTGTACTGGTGAGCTAAAAGTATATTGTACTTTCTGTAAGGTTCTTGTTCTGCGTGACCATTAATCATTGAAATGTGCCTTTTGTAAAGAAACTGAATAAGAAATGTAAAATATATAGTATAAAATCTTCTAGCATCACTTTTACGAAAACAAAATGACCTAAAAGCCATCATGTGCTTTTGTGACAACCAAAACATTATTAGCTTGTGAATATTCTAATGTGTTATAAAAAGTTAACTAAATTTAAAAAACTACCATAAAAAAGACAGCACACTGAGACAAATGGATGGATGAAAGTTTACCTATAATGAAGATATTAATTTACCTAAAATCGCTCCCATATACCGGTACATTGAATGCACCATATATATTACAAAGATACATAATGTATCAAATGTAAAATATAGAGATTTACTCACCACTCCATGTAATACCTACCTCCAGGCCATCCTCCGTTCTGCCTCCAATTCTTCTCTGATTTGCCCTGCTTGGGGACACATTCCCCAAACTGCTCAGTGACGTCGACATGCTGGCTTCATTGCAAGCGTGCCGGCGTCGGAATAGAGTGATGTCACGTCATTCCATTCCTAAACTCCCTAGCCAGCATTAGAAGCACCGCCTAGAGAATTTAAATGCGCATGCGCTGCGGTTGCTATTTTTGGAAGATCTTTTCTGCTCTCGCATGTTAGTCAATGCCTCGGCATTCAGTGTCTGTTGAGGCATTGACTGAGAACTGGGGAAAAAAAAGTATTTTTAAACAGGTTTTCCTCCCAAACTATACATTTGCTAGCACAATATATACACAGAATCGTATGTTCTTTCAAAAGCGCATGAGTTAAAACAGGACTACAAGTATTCTTTAAGGCCAAGTGAATGCACACCATGGTCTTTCTTGAAAGACATTTTAAAACACAAACATTGCAACTTCATACCTTATTATATTGTATCTTTGTAAACATCAGTTGCAAACCAAAAACCCAGCATTGAACACACAGGGTGTATAACCAGAAAGACATTTTAATAGCCCATATGCAACAAATGCAATTCACTCCTCCCCTCCCCCATTTATCTAGGGAAAATGATTTAGTATTTATTTTTTTAATGTTAGATAAAGACCACGACAAGGGGTTTAGGAAAGCTTCCAACATTAAAGGATCACTATAGGGTCAGGAACACAAACATGTATTCCTGACCCTATAGTGTTAAAAACACCATCTAGCCCCCCTGGTCCCCTCATGCCTCCATAAATATAGCAACATCTTACTGTATTCAAGCCTGAAGCTGCAACTCTGCATGCTGTTTGTCTCAGAAAAACAAGCAGTCTGCTGACATCATAAGAAGTGGTAGCCTGATCCAATCACAGTGCTTCTCCATAGGATTGGCTGAGACTGACAAGGAGGCAGATCAGGGGCAGAGCCAGCACAATTCAAACACAGCTCTGGCCAATCAGCATCTCCTCATAGAGATGAATTGAATCAATGAATCTCTATGAGGAAAGTTCAGTGTCTGCATGCAGACGGTGGAGATACTGAATGTTTGGATGCATTTTAGGCAGCCATGACCCAGCAATGATCGCTAACAAATTTCTGAAAAGACAGTGTTTACAGCAAAAAAAAAAAACTGAATGTAATGATTCTACTCACCAGAACAAATTCAATAAGCTGTAGTTGTTCTGGTGACTATAGTGTCTCTTTAAATTTTGCTTTATTTGATGATTTGGCGGCCTGTGAAATTTACCGCATAGGCTGTAGTATTTCTGAACTAAATGTCAATGCAAATTCATTGGGAGGCATGGATTAACCAATTGCTAAATGCTGTTACTGCGCATGTTGAGGTATTTGGCCCACAGCAGAGACTCCGAGCCTTTATTACTGCAACAGAAGAAAGAGATGAAGGGGTGAACTATTCACTTCTCTATTTCTTCCAAACACATACAGACAAAGGACTGAACATTCCCTGTCTGTTAATTTTGGAGAATTTGCCAGCCTGGGGCACATATTATCAAGAAAAAAATAGGTGTTATTCAGGGGTAATGTGCTAAAGGATTACTCCCATCAAAAACAGTGTTTTTATAAAACACTGTTTTTAGTTGGAATAACTCTTGCTGGCATGTACCCCCTCTTAAAAAAATAAATAGAAATAATTAACTTCCCATGCCGAGGTCAAGTTTAAATTCTTCCTCAGCGTTGATATCACTCCATTCACACCATTCATCCTAAACCCGCTGAGGGAAGGACCTGGCCAGTATTGACAGGAAGCCAAGCTGCCATTGGGTGTCTATTCAAAATACAGAAAAAGTATTCCAACATATCCTTTCAAATGATGTCCCTTTATTTAAGTACCAAGAGTGAATGCAGCAACAACGTTTCAACTTGACAAAGATCTTTATACTGGTGGAAACATTGCTGCTGTGTTCACTCTCAGCACTTAAATAAAGGGACACTGTTTGAAAAGAAGTGATGGAATAATTTTTCTTTACTTTGAATACATGTACTGGCCTGGGTGGAGCCAGATTTTGTGCACCCTGTGTGGTAGGGGCTGTTCCCTTCACTTTGGAGCCATTGGTCGTCTGTCACCAGTATGCTACGTGTGCTGATGACAGGTGGCAATTATATACAAATTTTACATTAGTCAGATGGGAACTCTCATCCTGGGCTTGCTAATGATATTGCCAATGGTGAAGTTACTCCTCAAGCAGCAAAGAACATTACTTCGTATCACCATTCCAAAGCACTGAAGTGATCATGGTGCTTGAAGTAACCCTTTAAACAAAGTATAATCATAGGAAATCAATAGATTATATCTGAGCATTTAGCACTTTCCACCCAAAATAGCAACTGTATTGTCTTGATAAATCTCTCCCCGTGTCCTAGTTTTTAGTAATTAACCATGCACTTCCAAGCGATATCATGTTTGATGTGTACAAAATATTTTGGAGGTCAGGATGATTGCATAATTTAAGAACACAAAATAAACATTCTAATTATTAAAAAAAAAAAAAGAGATAAGATGAAGATATTTGGAACCTGATATGTCTCTGGGTATCATCTAATGTGTTTACTAATTCTGTCTTCTTGATTTAATTTTACAGGATCCATTTACCCTCCAGCAAAACCTCCAGATACAATATTCAAAATTACATTTTGGCTGGGATATTTCAACAGCTGCATCAATCCAGTGATTTATCCTTGCTCTAGCCCAGAATTCAGGAAAGCTTTCCAAAATGTTCTCCATGCTCGTTGCTCACCCAGGAGGCAAGCAGCCAGCAAATACTCATCAGGCTTCATCCTGAACAGTCCTGTGAACCGTGGTTCAGAAGAGCTGAAGAATGTGGTCAGAATCCCTGTGGGATCTGGAGAAAATTTTTACAAGATCTCAAACTCAGGTGGAGTTTGTGAATGGAAATATTTTACACCATTGCCCAGTCCCTCGACTCCCTATGGGGCACCAAGGGACTTCTCAAACTGCTCAACAGCCAGGATGAACAGTAAGTCCTTTCTGCGGACCTGCTGCTGTATCGGCACTGAGCAGAAACAGATGTGTCATGACGTACCTACTATCAAAATCCATAGGATATCCATCAGTGAAAATGGGGAGGCAATCTAGATTAAAGACATTAAAGACTAAATTGTTCTAGAGGGATTATTTTGTAAACTTGAACTTCTGGGAGGGATAAAAATAACCATTACTTGGTATTTTTCAGGATTGTGCCAACAAAGTGTTCGAATCCAGCGTAAATCACTTACATTCCATTGTCTTTTACTGAGCCAAACTCAACACATTTTATCCTGGTTTGAAAAAAATATGTCATTGTGTATCCTTGCCCCCTCCTCCACTCTATGGACCAGATACAATTTGAACCACATGAACTTTGCTGCTATATATCCACCTGAAGTCTGCATGAAATACTCTGATATGCTTAAAAACCTCAAGGTGCTATGTAAAGGCAAAACTAGAGAAGGGAAATTGAAACCATATCAGTGATTATGCATATAATCACAATGTGTATATTTAGTACTGCAGATCTTTATATGCAATGTAGTGTGACTTTGGTTGCAAGATTATTTCCAAGTGACTCAGCCTCTTGCGGACATCAGTAATGCAAATGTAGTCTTCAAAAATTCACTTTGCAAGCTAATTTCATTGAGTCTGGCATCAATCCATGAATCTGAAAATACAATAGCCATGTGTCTTGATGTGCATGTGACAAAATTGCATTAAATCAAATACACTTGACGTCATACCTAAATGTAATACAGACATTCTTAGATTGTTGGAGATCAATGAGCAAATTTCTATGTAGTAAATTGAATATGACACGCAGAAATGAATTAGGGAAAGTGGATTTGACAGGATCAGTGTGGCATTGCACAAAATCTGCATTCCGTTTTCCTTTGTGAATTAAATTTCTGTAGATATCAGATTTCCATAATAATGTCGGTAAGGACAACCATCTTGCTTGCGCATCAATATTGATTTTGTCATGCCATCTCTTGAAATATGATTTGTAAAAAGGGAGACCATTAAAGGGATGTTCTAGGCACCAGGCCAAAATCAGTGTTATTTGTAGTTTTAAGTTTATTATGTTAGATTGTTTTTGTTAAATGTTTCATGTTTCTTAAAAAATATCTGTTCACTCTGCTCATCCCTATTACCCTGAAATGCGGCACAATTTTCCATAGTACAATATGGATGCACATCGGTGATTGTGATGGTTAAATACATTTACATAGCATGCTCTGGCTGTGCCGAGCCTGCCAGGAAGTCAAAATAAATGATCAAAATCAACGAGCATTTAAAAAAAAGTGCAATCTTGTAAGGATAATTGTCAGACAATCTGTAGCTAACTTTTAGTTAGCTATAGGGATACGCAAAAACTCACATGTAATCATTTCACTGTATGAATTACAGTCAGGTAGCTGCACTCAACTTCCATCCAATGATTCTCAGCATAGGAGTGACAATGAGTGAGTTTAAGGTATTATAAATAGACCCTTTAGATACCTGCTTAAACAGAACTCTCATCAAGTAATGATATCACAAACAAAATAATTATCTTGTTTCTTGAATGGTGTGCTAATTCTCAAGCAACCTTAGCTGGACGACTGCTTTTAGCAAATGTATTTAATAGTAGCTCACTACACACAAGCAGTCTACATCCTCACTATTGGGTTTTTTAAAAAATATACCAGAATTTTAAATTGGTTTATATGTGGTTCTTAAATGTGTGAGTTTATCAGAGAAGATTTCACATAGCACCCTCCAACGATCTGACTATATGTTATAAAAGAAAACACACACAAGACATAGCACCAGTTTATATTGTCTTTCATGCTGCCATGACTATGTGTATGTATACTTTCATAAATTAAACTCCCTGTTGCGTATCGCTTACATAGCCCAAGGCAAGTGTTAGAAAATGCCTACCTCAGACACAGGCTCAGATAAAAATGATTTCCACAGTTCTCCAAGAATGCGATCCTGAATATGGCAAAAATGCACGCGCAAGAATTGCTCTTTAGATTCCATCTGAATTAATACATAGAATATAAAAAGTGATCACTGTCAGTGCTCATTTGCATATTCAGGATCTGGATATGTAGGTGAAGTGGGCACAGCATTAGATACCAATTTCCTTTTAATCAGCTGGGAGTTTTCTTCATTTTTTTTTATATCACTCGAATGTTAATTATACATGAATTTTCATTGAAAATAATAAAACTACACAAATCAAAAAGGTGTGAAGTCATCAGAGGCATGTGCCAAGGGTATCCAGACACACCGTAATGCAGGGCCAAACTGTTTAGGCCTATCTCTGTATACACTTAGTTATTAATCTCCAATAGTTTCTATTTTGTAACACATTTTTAAATTATTATTTTTACTAAATAATATGAAAATTTTATTTTTCTCTGGGCTCACACCCTAATTTAGTGTGCTGTGCATGCCTATAAAACGTATTATAAATGTAATTAAATGTATTCTTGAAGTAAGTTTTTTATTTAATCACAGCTCCTTTACTAAAGGAACTTGGGAAACATGATATTTTAAGGCATTATTATATAGAAATTGTACATTATACATCTTAAAAATTAAATGTCTTGCAGCCTAGTAAACTAGCCAGAAATCTATATTTTATTTGGTCTGCAAATAGTAATTAATGCCTAAAGTTTTTGAAATAGTTGTTGAAAGCTAAATTGAGAGACACTGGAAAGCCTCATGAGTAATGATTATGCAACACACTGGCAAAACATGTTTTGCTTGACCCCAACATGCAATATAATCTTTGCCAAATTTTTTGTGTATAAGTGAATAGTTTGAAATACTCACAGGCAAAACAAGAGTCATTTTGCATTCCTATCCATATTTTATATGATAAATTTTCTCATTAAAGGGAAACCATACCCTGAATGTAACAATCGTTATATTGGGACTAAAGGTTCCCTACTGTTTAAGCTCCTTTACTTAGTAAAATGTAAGTGAAATAAAGATTACTTAGCTCCTTTCCAACACCAGGACTCCTCAGCGGAAACCCCAGTTCCTTTTTTTGTTGATGTCAGCATCCAAGCTGACATCACTTGCAATCTAGAGAAGCAATGGATTTGAACTAGGCTTGCGTAACCGCAGTTCTCCAATCAAATGCTGCTGTCAGCAGCATTTCATCCTAGGGCCGAGTTTCACTCAGTTCTGGAGTTGGAAGCACCTCTAGTGACAGTTAGGAAGACAGTTACTAGAGGTGAGTTTACCCTGCAATGAAAACGGTGCTGCATCTACTAAACAGCAACATTTTACACTTCAGGATAAAATGGCAGGACGACTGCACAAAGACCACTTCATTTAGATGAAGTGATCTTGGTGCCTTTAGTGGTCCTTTAATCCCAAGATATAGGATCAGTTCTAGAAATCACTGCATATTTTTGTTTCCATTGCATTCTAGACATAAATGTATGCACAAACCTGACAGCGGTCTCAAACTGACGTGAACATACCCATTTTTCAAATAGATTAAAAATTAGATTTCTTGTGCTTGTCTGATATAAGTATGGCAGCTTGCAATTCCTAAACAAGGGTCTCTACTTTCTGTCTGTAAATTAATACTGTATTGGAGGAGGTGCAAGGAAGCAGCACCTTCAGAATGTCCTTAAATCCATGTAGAGATGAAGCAATATGTAAGATAGGAGGACTAGTATCTATAGTAACTGATTAATTAGATAAGAGGAATAACACTTACGATTTTCTGGATCTTATGATCAGCTCCAGATATGTGCCCCGGCGGTATAGTCCACTCAAAGGACACTTTGAGAAAGCCTAAATGTTATGCGAAATGCGTTATTTTTTATATTGTATATTGGTTTTATTATTTGTCTTAAATAAAACTAGAATTTTATTTATTTTGGACCTTCCTTCTATTATTTTTATTTCATGCATACAGAAAGCACTATATTCTGTTTTATTTTCATCTTATATACTGGTGAATGTCCACTGCCACAATACTGCACACTGAAAGACAACACTGCTCAACGCATGGCATCAAAAGCATCCTACTGGCCTGGAAAATCTTCCAATAAAGGACCGACATCATCAACATATCCACAGACGGGGATTGTACCGTTCATCCGCACATATCTGGAGCTGATAATAAGCTCCAGTTAAATTGTAAGTGCTATTCCTCTTGTCAAATCATTAGTTACCAAAGATACTACACTATATTCCATTCTATTGTCCTCTTATCTTTTATATTGCTTTCAGACCTGCCTTGTAGTCCCAGTATTTTTCCTCTGTTGTCCCACTTGGGGCTATGCCAAAGAAAACTCCCCACAAGGTGCAGTTCAAGCTTATGTAAAGGCACATTTGTGGCAGTAAAAGGCTTTCCAGGGCATTTCTTCCCTTGCAAGATTGATTTAGCATCACTCTGCTTGTGAGCAGCCAACCGTTGGTGTTTACTAGATTCTGTTGTTCACAATAAGCATTTCTCTGTAAGAGCATTTTTCAGTGGCAGAATTGCTATTTACTTACCATAGATAGTAATCCAGCCCCCATGCCGAAATCCCATTCCTAACGCAGATAGCATTTTGTAACTTAATTTTTACACAATTCGCAGATCGTGAATACAAAACAGATTGCTCAGTTATTTTCTTTAAAGTGTTTATGGTAGGTTCCCAGGAGTTTTTATAGTATGTATATTTGTATAGAACAAATGTGTGTATGTGAGGTCCGGAATTAAAAATAAGTAGAAATCCACACTATCATATTTATCTCTCGCCTAAAACTGAGCACCTCCATCTTGGTTTTATGTTTCAGCTTCTCCTCCTGTGCAGTATGTGCCTTCGCTGTGTCGGGATTGAACTGGTTTGTGATGTCAACTGTTAAATCTTTGTCTTCAAAAATACAGGGTGTTGTCCAGTAACAATAAATCATAACATGTGAGACTCTTTTAACTATTGAATTTGCCTGACTCTACTATTCATACATGAGAACGCTTTGGAAGCTAATTATAGGACTTCTGGGTAACAACTCTGTCCTTTGTGTCAAAGAGAGAATGCTCTACTTCCTGTCCTGAGAATACTGATCCAGAACACTTATTAACATACTTAATTAGGATGTGCAATCAGAGATTTTTATCGAGTGTGCAATGCAGGACTGGCGCATTGGCTGAGAGCTTCAGCGGATCCCTTTCCTAACAATCTAGCACTGCACTGCAGAACGTAGCAGTGTAAAGAGAGTTTCCAACACTCACTAAACTGTAGTAGAGACGGGGTGCAATGCCCAGCAGACCATGAGTAAGAAGTCAAACCATTCTAAAATGGTTTGAATTCTTAAAATTGGGGGGAAAGCAAAGTAGTTCTGGCACTATAACCATTCTAGAGTGATGTAGTGGTCATGGTTTGTGGAGTGTTCTTTTAAAAACTAAACAGTTACAGTTGATTAATATCAGTGATAACACTGGTTATGTAAGAGCCATATGTTTTGTTTCAGTACCTCATCTGTTACCCTAGAAAAGCTATTCATTTAGAGAATTGAAGACATATTGCGTTCTGTTACTTTTATTAGATTAGTCCCATTTATTTGACTGCATGTTTTTCTTTCTGCTTCTGAATAAAAAAAAAAAATGTCATGTCAACTGCAGTGGGCTCATCGGACTACCAGTTGTATTTCAATTCAGTGTTACATAGCTATACAAAAAAAAAAGTCTTATCTCCTTCAAGGATTTGTGTCACAAGCTTTCTGTGAAATATTCTAAGTAAATGTGAACAGATACTTTGTGCTCAGTCTGATCTCCTGCCTACAGGATGCACTTACTAGTGATAAGGGTGTTTTGTTTTTCCTGATTCAGTAGTGTTGACCGAACTTTTGCAGCATATTCATCAACCTACTGCAGAGTTTAGTCAATAAACCCCAAGGTCACACCTATGAAATATTTGAGGTGATATATATGCATATTAAAGCCTGTGTTTGCATTGAAACTATGTTTAACCGGGGGAATTCGTTCTGTATTGAATCCTATATTTTTGTGAAAATACTCCTGGTTTGTGCTTTAATTGACCGATCTATTTTTCTAGCCAGCATGGTTTCATAACAACACCATATGTTTTTTTAATAAAATATTACAGCACATTGATTACCTCACTATTAGCCTTATTTACTAAGAACTGTTGAAATGCACTAAATAAATCCAGCAATGGTACTGCAAATATTTGTGAAATACATTTCCTGGAATACTTAATCAACCTAGAGGTTGGCTGAGCATCATGGGAAAATGTCCACAAACATCCCCCATATTTAGCCGTCACTGGTATGCACCAGTCTCCTGAATAGGCCAAAGCATGTCTTGTCTGTCTGTGTCAGTTACCACATAGATTTATCTGTCCGAAAATGCAACTTTTTCTGCTGAAATAAGTGAACTCCATTCAAAAGTGAACATTTGGATGTGTTGAAATAAAATGTAAAGGGCCGCCTGTCTGTCTTTTCATTGTGCTTTGAGTATTTTGTTATGGTATGTATGGCGTGAGTTTTTGATGAGATAGAATGTTACATAAAACAGATGTTCAGCATACACAAAGAGCGGGTTACAAAAGGAAGAAATTGTTTTTAGATCAAACTGATCTTTCCTACAGAGGATTTAGGTTCCTTGCATGTGATTGTGCTTTTCATTTTTTTTTCTCTGAAGGTGCCCTATGCCCCAAAATAGATTGAATTTCAAACCATTTCTTTATCCCACAGCAAACACTCTGAGAATGCCAAGACGCCAGTAAAGTCAGTGAGAAACATTCAGATACTTTAAGGCCTTGATTTTTATTGGATAAGCTTTTAAATCATGTAATATTTTTGGATACATTTTAAAAAAATATTTTAATATTTTTATGTTTTAATATATGATATATTTTTTGATATTTTAATATTTTGAAAAAAAATATTTTAAAAGCATATCCAAAAATATTAAATGGAAGCTTTAGTTAGGGTAGCATTTACCTTTCTAAAGTGCTTCATATGACCTCTGACTATTTAACATTGTTTACAAAGTTTAATGTAATTTTTAATAAATACCCACTATCAGAGGCTTAACTAGAAACCATGGGGCCCCGGTGCGAAAATTGCCCTGGCCCCACCACCCCATACGTCTACCCCCAGCAACTCCCCCATACCTCTAACCTCCCCCTACTATACGTTCCCGTCCCCACACATGCAGACAAACAGATACACATGCAGACGCGCATATAGACACACACGCATATATACAGAGACACACACATACAGGCACACATACATAAAGACACACACATACAGACATACAAGCACACACACAGAGACACACATATACAGACACATAGACAAACGTACACACATACATACAGACACAGACATACACACACACATACATACAGACACATAGAGATCGCACTGTTAAAGCGCCGCAGCGCTGACCGGACCCCTGGAAAGTCATTGCCAGCATGGGCCACCCGATGGACCCCTTCATTGCGGCCTCAGCGGTTATACTGCACGGGTCGGGGCAGCGTTACTTAGGCGGGCACCGCGGTCGCAGGGGTCCACAGGTCGGCTGGGCCCCCTGGATTGACGGGCCTAGTCGCAGCTGCGATCCCTGTGACCGCGGTAGTTCCACCACTTCCCTCTATTCATAAACATCTTCAAGTTTTGGAGCAGACTTCTGCAGCCCCCCACCCGCCACATAAGATCTATTATTCCTCATAATAGTAGTAGTTTATTCGGAAAACATCAATGTTTTCAGACGTACTTCACAATACGTAGATGTGAGAATAACAGTAATTGATATAATAGGTTTAGAACATAGCTTGACATTTTTTCCTACAATCTAAGAGCCAGTGACAAAAAGCAGGAGTCAGAAGGCAATTAAAGGGCTACTCCAGGCACCAGTAATTTGAAGTAGTCATGGTGCCTGGAGTCTGTTGTTGCAGTGTTTTGCTCTGCAGACTGTTTTTCCCAAGGATTTTGGGGTCGGTGTTCTACTGCATTAGGTGAGTGGCTCCTCAGCCTCACCCTAGCCAAAATGTGATGTCATTCCTGCCCAAGCACGACTACGGGTGAGCAAGGGAGCTGTGCAGGCATGCGCATATGGATTGCAGAGCAGCCCGCACTGCATCCTTGGAGCCCAGGGGGAGGATACATTCCAGCTCTCTTAACAGTAGGGAGACTTGTTGGATCTAAACAAAAACAAATAACTCTAATACAAAACATATTTTTTGAGTGTGTATGTATGTATTTGAGTGTGTGAGACTGTGCTTGTGTGTCTATAAGTGTTTTTGAATGTATTTGTATTTGTATTTGTGCATGTGTGCGCATGTGGTCCTACACTAAAGCTTTAATCCCCCACAATACTGCCTCAATCCCTGCATTAAAGCCCTAATACCCCCAATAGAGCTCCTATCCCACACACCAAAACCTCACCTCCCCCTCACACTAAGCCCCAGTCCCCCATAATACTTCCCCTATCCACCCCAAACTAAAACCCCAATCCCCCACAATACGACCCCTATCCTCCTAAAATACTGCCCCTATCTCCTACATTAATGCCCCAGTCCACCACAATACTTATTCTTCAGCACAGGAGTCGAAGACTTAATTGACAGGTGAGAGAAAGACTTCTTATAAATAGGTTTCAAACTTTCCTTCATATTTGGAGGTCAATGGACTGAAACATTGACTATATGCTAAAGTATATCTGCTTAAAGTTAAGCAGTTATTTTGTTTATCTTGAAGTGCTTTCCTTCACGTTGACGAAATATTTTTTCAATTTAAAGCTATCTTTTGCACTAAAGTTTGCACCCTATGCTGAAGCGATACATCATTGGTCTTGTGTAGATTTTTTTACAGGGTTGCTCATACAGAATTTAGCCTCTCTGCTGCTGGAGCTCTAACTCCACCTCAAGCAGCATCACTGCTTTGAATTATTATAATTATTTATATTGGTATTTATATAGTGCCAACATATTCCGTAGCGCTTTACAATATTATAAGAGGGGTGGAGGGGATAACTATAAATAGGACAATTACAAGACAACTTACAGGAACGATAGGTTGACGAGGACCATGCTCCAACGAGCTTACAGTCTATAGGAGGTGGGGTGTAAAACCCAACATGACAGGAAATAGCAATCAAATAAGGTGGGAGTGAAGCAGAGCTGGAGGAGAGAGTAGAGTACTGCCCTTTAGGAGAGAGCAGGAGATAGATATGTGAGGTAGAGGTTACTCTGGGAGGCCATAAGCTTTCCTAAAGAGATGGGTTTTAAGGCACTGCTTAAATGATTGAAGACTAGGGGAGAGTCTGATGGCGGTAGGCAGGCTATTCCATAGGAAGGGAGCCGCCCGCGAGAAGTCCTGCAAGCGTGAATTGGCCGTATGGGTGTGAACAGCAGACAGGAGAAGGTCATGGGCAGAGCGAAGAGACCAAATAGGGGCATACTTATGGATCAGTGAACAAATTATAAGAGGGACTAGAATTATTCAGGGCATTAAAGGTTAACTAGTTAAGAATGAGTCTCAATTAATGAATGACAACTGCCCCGCCTTCTGGCTCCCGGGCTCTGCAACAACCCAAAAAGTATCAATGGACCACCAGGGAGCGGAGACCCAGGTAAGGGGGTAAACTGTTATGACACCAGGATACTCCTGTTATCATAACCACTACAATTTAACCCTTCAATAAGCAACACACACACACAATTAATAACCAACATGCACACAAATGTTAAGCAACATGCACACACAAACTCACACACCCATACACCTAGCAAACTCACATACTATGCTCACAATCACACATAATCAGCATTATTTGCATGTGGCAAACTAGATGTACTCTTTTCACACATATTAAATTAATCAATTATCATCACATTCAAATGTAAGTAATTACTCACACCTAATTATCCACACAGGCATACATAATTATATCCAGTTATAAATAGCTGTTCACACACCTAACAAATCACTCACACAATCTGTTAGCAGTGAAGAAGGGAATTGAGCAGAGGAAATCAGCATGAACTGTTCATGGTGACTAGTGAGATCATAAACTATCTCTGCGTCTACCAATGACAGAGACAGCTTCAGAGCTCCCTCGACACTCCTGTATTCTCAGAATGCAACACTTATGAATAGTATTATTTGCAGTATCCATTTCCATTTTTGTGATGCCATGCCATACGTCTGCATATATACCGGTATATATATATGGTGGCGCTGACTGTGTTTCAAGTAATACACTCTGCATCAATTTGGGCACCGAGAATCTAATACATTATTTATTCCAGTCACTGGACTGATTCCTGTGACTGGATTCAAATATTTAATTTTTTTTTATATTACCTTCGATGTCCAGCAAACCTTATTTAAATCATTCCATATTTCTGATTCTCTTAGAATGTTTACTGAGCACTGTAGCTGCTGCATTTCTGGACTTCTGAATCCTGGTACCCTACCAACTGGTAAATGCCTTTATTTCATAAATATTTAAATCTTCATGTTAGTTCGCTCAAGCAGACAAGCAATCAAAATAATATCATTAAACCCAATTTGTAGGAGAAAAAATTCTAATTCCAATGTATTACCACCACACAGAGTGCTTTACATATTGCAAAAGAAAAGCAAAATCTTCCATCATGTATCGGTCGTGCCGGCCTGCCGGGCTGTGTATCTCTACATTAATGGTCCTAGTTAGTTATAATCAAGGAATAACAACTTAAAAAGGAAGAGATCAACGGCAGTTCATAAAAAGAGGAAATGTAAACAGCTTTAAAAGTTTATATAATAAGAAAGGGGGGAGATCATGGTTTTGTTAGTAAATTAAACAGTTGTTTAACCTTCACAGTTATTAAAAATAAGATTAGTTTAAGCCAGATAGTGGTAGAGCATTATGGGGAGGCGGATACAGAAAAAGATTCTGGAGATAACAGTTAGGCATTTGCTTTCTATGTTCCTAAATAAATAGGATATTACAGATTTTACTAAACATCCGTATGTGCAGGGATACACTGACAGAACATTCTATGTGACGGGGTAAGCAATCTTTTGGTAGTGCTGCAAAAAAGTATTACTTTGAAGTCCCAAGCAGTGTGGCCTTTTTTTGGTGAAGAGCAAATAGTATGACAAATGAGTCATATTAATTTGTCTTTAGCTTTTCAATGCGGGTTCAAGTCAATGAGTGAAAAGGAAATAGAGTGAAGGAGATAGAAAGAGGGAGCTATCATTGCTTGATGGTAAGCTCAGGACACGCGTGTCCATAAGGCGCCGCCTTAGTGTGCACCGGCCCGGGGGGGGCGCTAGATTATAGTGACCGGAAGGAAGTTCTCACTGAGAGAGCTCTTCCTGTCAGTCCAGACAGGTACAGGAAACTGAAGCTTCTGTAAGGTGGTCTGCTCCGCTCAGCCGCGCTACCAGAA